AGTACTTGACAATGTGAACAATTTCAAATGAGAGCTACCTTCGTAAAAGTTTGCTTGGATAATATGTATGGACATCACTGTAATGATAAATCAATAAATGTGGTCACTGTCTGATAAGGACTCAGAATCACGTGACTGCGTATGAGAATATTTTTATCTTGGCGTTGCTATGCAGAATGTATACATACCGTTATTTTCCATTCACTTGAACAAGTCTCATTTGATCAAGTTTTTAGGGTCAGAGTATATGTTTTTTAGCTCAGCTGAGCCGAATGCTCGAGTCAAGTTTTCTGATCAAAATGTACCCGTTGTCTCGTTAACGTCGTAATATTTTCAAATTTACAACTTCTTTTCATGAATCACTAAGCTTATTTCAATCAAACTTACCACAAAACCTCCTTGCGTAAAGGAAATTCAGATTTGCTCAATTTAAGAAACAAGCCCTCTTCTAAAAAGAGATAACTATGAAGAATGAATATCAGCAGTCTCATTTCAATTCATCATTTCGTACATTCTATTGGAGATACAATGATTTTGTTAGCTTATACAAGGTTAAATTAAGTTAAATGCTGCCTGCTGTTTTTCATACAAATTTTTTGACCTTTATTTACGTACTAAATTGTCGACAGTTATTTTCGGCTGTTTCCCGATCATGACAAGGACCACACATGCATTGTAACTAATTTGGCGAGCAATGCTCAACTCTGATGTTCTAGAGGTCTGTACTTGTATTGTTAAATTGACATTCGAGCCTTAACATTGCTGCTTTTATTGGTCTTTAGTATGTAAAGATGGATTTTATGGACAAACATGTGAAGAATGTGGGCACTGTAGGAATGGAACATTCTGCAACATCACCACGGGTGTATGTCCAGACGGTTGTGTGGATAATTGGGATGGATTATTGTGTGCAGGTAAGGCATTATGGTTGTCATAAAAAAGACATTTATTGTCAAAATAGTAAAATTCCGTGAACTAGTACTTGACAATGTGACCAAATTTCAAATGAAAACTATCCTCCTAAAAGTTTGCTCGGATGGTATGTATGGACATCACTGTAATGATAAATGTGGTAACTGTTTGGTAGGGACACAGAATCAGGGAACTGCGCATGAAAATTTTTTTCTCTTGCCGTTGCGCCGCGAGGGGATCCGGGTTAGAATAGGTCCTCAGTTCCCCCTTGCTTGTCGTAAAAGGCGACTAAATGGGGCGGTCCTTCGGATGAGACCGTATAAATCGCGGTCCCGTGCCACAGCAGGTGTGGCATGATAAAGCTCCCTTCCTGCTTAAAGGCCGTAAGTGCCGAGAATAAACCTAAATTTGCAGCCCTTCACAGGCAATGGTGACGTCTCTATATCAGTGAAATATTCTGGACAGGGACGTTAAACGGTATTCAGTCTGTCAATTAATCTTGGGGTTACTATGCAGAATGTATACATACCGCCATTTTCCATTCACTTGAACAAGACTCATTCGATCGAGTTTTTAGGGTTATGGTATATGTGCAATGCTCAACTCTGATGTTCTGGCGTTCTGTGCTTGTTTTGTTTAATGGACTTTTGAACCTTAATATTTATCTTTAGTATGTAAAGAAGGATTTTATGGACAAACATGTGAAGAATGTGGGCACTGTAGGAATGGAACATTCTGCAACATCACCACAGGTGTCTGTCCAGACGGTTGTGTAGATAATTGGGATGAATTATTGTGTGCAGGTAAGGCATTATGGTTGTCATAAAAAAGATATGGTCAAAATGTTAGAATTCTCCTGCACTAGTACTTGACGATGTGAACCAATTTCAAATAAAAGCTACCTTCGTAAAAGTTTGCTTGGATAATATGTATGGACATCACTGTACTGATAAATTAATAAATGTGGTCACCGCTGATAGGGACACAGAATCACGTGACTGCGTATGAAAATCTTTTTCTCTTGTCGTTGCTATGCAGAATGGATACATATCGCCATTTTCCATTCACTTGAACAAGTCTCATTCGATCAAGGTTTTAGGTCCAGAGTATATGTTTTTAAGCTCAGCTGAGCCGAATGCTTGAGTGAAGTTTTCTGATAAAAATTTACCCGTTGTCTGTCGTTATCGTAGTAATCTTTTTCACATTTTCAACTTCTTTTCATGAACCACTAAGCTAATTTCAATCGAATTTGCCACAAAACATCCTTTGGTAAAGGAAATTCAGATTTGCTCAAATTAAGGAACAAGTCCGCTTCTAAAAAGAGATAATTATGAAGAATGAATGTCAGCAGTCTCATTTAAAGTCATCATCTCGTACATTCTATTGGAGATACAATGATCTTGTTAGCTTATCCAATGTTTAATTAAGTCAAATGCTGACTGTTTTTTTTTTCATATCAATTTTTTTTACCTTTATTAACGTACTAAATTGTTGACAGATATTTTCCGTTATTTCCTGGTCATGACAAGGAAAACACATTCATTGTAATTTATTTGGCAAGCAATGCTCAACTCTGATGTTCTAGAGTTCTGTGCTTGTGTTGTTTAAAGGACTTTTGAGCTTTAATATTTCTCCTTTTATTTATCTTTAGTATGTAGAGAAGGATTTTATGGAAATACATGTGAAGAATGTGGGCACTGTAGGAATGGAACATTCTGCAACATCACCACGGGTGAATGTCCAGACGGTTGTATGGATAATTGGGATGGATTATTGTGTGCAGGTAAGGCATTATGGTTGTCATAAAAAAGATATTTGTGGTCAAAAGAGTAAAATTCTCTGAACTAGTACTTGACAATGTGAAGAAATTTCAATTCAAAACTATCTTCGTAAATATTTGCTCGGATGGTATGTATGGACATCGCTGTAATGATAAATGTGGTCACTGTCTGATAGGGACATAGAATCACGCGACTGAGCATGATAATGTTTTTCTCTTGCCGTTGCGCCCCGTGGGGATCTGGGTTACAATTGGTCCTCAGTACCCCCTTGCTTATCGTAAAAGGTGACTAAATAGGACAGTCCTTCGGATGAGATCGTATAAACCGAGGCCCCGTGTCACAGCAGGTGTGGCATGATAAAGATCCCTTCCTGCTCAAAGGCCGTAAGTGTCATGCATAGGCCTAAATTTGCAGGCCTTCACCAGCAATGGTGACGTCTCTATATTAGTGAAATATTCTGGAAAGGGACGTTAAACAGTATACAATCAATCAATCAATCTTGGCGTTACTATGCAGAATGTATACATACCGCCATTTTCCATTCACTTGAACAAGAATCATTCGATCGAGTTTTTAGGGTTATGGTATATGTATTTTAGCTCAGCTTAGCCAAATGCTCGAGTGAGGTTTTCTGATCAAAATGTACCCGTTGTCTGTCGTTATCGTCATAATCTTTGCACATTTAAAACTTCTTTTCATGAACCCCTCAGGCAATTTCAATCAAACTTGCCACAAAGCATCCTTGTGTTAAGTGAATTTAGATTTTTTCAAATGAAGGCCTATTCTAAAAGGAGATAATTATGAAGAATGAATATCAGGAGTCTCGATTAAAGGCATCATTTCGTACATTTGATTGGAAATAAAACGACATGTTTAGCTAATACAATGTTTAATTAAGTCAACTGCTGACTGCTGGTTTTCATACAAATTTTTTGACCTTTATTTACATACTAAATTGTTGACAGATATTTTCCGTTATTTCCCGGTCATGACAAGGAGCACAAAGCCATTGTAACTTATTTGGTAAGCAATGCTCAACTCTGGTGATCTAGAGTTTTGTGCTTGTTTTGTTTAATGGACTTTTGAGCCTTAATATTACTCCTTTTTTATATTTAGGATGGATTATTGTGTGCAGGTAAGGCATTATGGTTGTCATAAAAAGATATTTGTGGTCACAATAGTAAAATTCCCTGCACTAGTTCTTGAGAATGTGACCAAATTTCAAATTAAAACTATCTTCCTAAAAGTTTGATCGGATGGTATTTATGAACATCACTGTAATGATAAATGTGGTCACTGTCTGGTAGGGACACAGAATCACGCGACTATGCATGAAAATGGTTTTCTCTTGCCGTTGCGCCCCGTGGGGATCTAGGTTAGAATTGGTCCTCAGTACCCCCTTGCTTGTCGTAAAAGGTGACTAAATTGGGTGGTCCTTCGGATGAGACCGTATAAATTGATGCCCCGTGTCACAGCAGGTGTGGCACGATAAAGATCCCTTCCTGCTCAAAGGCCGTAAGTGCCGAGCATAAACCTAAATTTGCAGCCCTTCACCGGCGATGGTGAAGTCTCTATATCAGTGAAATATTCTGGAGAGGGACGTAAACAGTATACAATCAATCAATCAATCTAGCCGATGCTATGCTGAATGTATACATACCGCCATTTTCCATTCACTTGAACAAGACTCATTTGATCGAGTTTTTAGGGTTAGGATATATGTTTTAAAGCTCAGCTGAGCCGAATGCTCGAGTGAGGTTATATGATCAAAGTTTACCCCTTTTCTTTCGTTATCGTCGTAATCTTTTCACATTTTAAACTTCTTTTCATGAACCACTAAGGCAATTTCAATCAAACTTGGCACTAAGCGTCCTTGGGTAATGGAACTTAAATTTGCTAAATGAAGGAACAAGACCGCTTCTAAAAAGAGAAAATTTTGAAGAATGAATATCAGCAGTCTTGTTTAAAGTTATCATTTCATACATTCTGCTGGAGATAAAACGACCTTTTTAGCTTATACAATGTTTAATTAAGTCAAATGCTGACTGCTGTTTTTCATACAATTTCTCTGACCTTTTTTACGTACTAAATTGTCGACAGATATTTTCCGTTATTTCCCGGTCATGACAAGGAGCACACAGCCATTGTAACTTATTTCGCAAACAATGCTCAACTCTGATGTTTTAGAGGTCTGTGTTTGTATTGTTAAATCAACTTTTGAGCCTTCATATTGCTACTTTTGTTTAACTGTAGTATGTAAAGAAGGATTTTATGGACAAACATGTGAAGAATGTGGGCACTGTAGGAATGGAACATTCTGCAACATCACCACGGGTGTATGTCCTGACGGTTGTACGGATAATTGGGATGGATTATTGTGTGCAGGTAAGGCATTATGGTTGTTATAAAAAAAGATATATGGTCAAAATGGTAGAATTCTCTTCAACTAGTACTTGACAATGTGAACCAATTTCAAATAAAAGCTACCTTCGTAAAAGTTTGCTTGGATAATATGTATGGACATCACTGTAATGATAAATTAATAAATGTGGTCACTCTCTGATAAGGACACAGAATCACGTGACTGCGTATAAAAAAGTTTTCCTCTTGTCATTGCTATGCAGAATGTATACATATTGCTATTTTCCATTCGCTTGAACAAGTCTCATTCGATCAAGTTTTTAGGGTCAGAGTATATGTTTTTAAGATCAGCTGAGCCGAATGCTCGAGTCAAGTTTTCTGATCAAAATGTACCCGTTGTCTGTCGTTATCGTCGTAATCTTTTCACATTTACAACTTCTTTTCATGAACCACTAAGCTTATTTCAATCAAACTTGCCACGAAACATCCTTGGGTAACGGAAATTCAGATTTCTTCAAATTAAGGATCAAGCCTGCTTCTAAACAGAGATAATTATGAAGAATGAATATCAGCAGTCTCATTTCAAGTCATCATTTCGTACATTCTATTGGAGGTACAATGATCTTGTTAGCTTATACAATGTTTAATTAAGTCAAATGCTGACTGCTGTTTTTCATACAAATTTTTTGACTTTTATTTACGTACTAAATTATCGACAGATATTTTCGGCTGTTTTCCGTTTAGGACAAGGAGCACAAATCCATGTAACTTATTCGGCAAACAATGCTCAACTCTGATGTTCTAGATGTCTGTACTTGTATTGTTAAATTGACATTCGAGCCTTCACATTGCTCCTATTATTATTGATCTTTAGTATGTAAAGATGGATTTTATGGACAGACATGTGAAGAATGTGGGCACTGTAGGAATGGAACATTCTGCAACATCACCACGAGTGTATGTCCAGAAGGTTGTATGGATAATTGGGATGGATTATTGTGTGCAGGTAAGGCATTATGGTTGTCATAAAAAAGATATTTGTTGCTAAAATAATAAAATTCTGTGAACTAGTACTTGACAATGTAAACAAATTTCAATTCAAAACTATCTTGGTAAGTGATGGTATGTATGGACATTGCTGTAATGATAAATGTGGTCACTGTCTGATAAGGACACAGAATCACGCGACTGCGCATGAAAATGGTTTTCTCTTGCCGTTGCGCCTCGTGGGGATCCGGGTTAGAATAGGTCCTCAGTACCCCCTTGCTTGTCGTAAAAGGCGACTAAATTGGGTGGTTCTTCGGATGAGACTGTATAAACCGAGGCCCCGTGTCACAGCAGGTGTGGCACGATAAAGATCCCTCCCTGCTCAAAGGCCGTAAGTGCCGAGCAAAGGCCTAAATATGCAGCCCTTCACAGGCAATGATGACGTCTCTATATCAGTGAAATATTCTGGGCAGGGACGTTAAACAGTATACAATCAATCAATTAATCTTGGCGTTAGTACGCTGAATGTATACATACCGCCATTTTCATTCACTTGAATACACTACTAAGTCAGAAACGTACTGACATTCCCATTTTTTACTGATAAACTTAGACATTTACTGACAATGTGCTGTCGTTACTGAAAAACTTAGACAATTACTGACCTTTTTACTGCCGGTGCTGATAAACTTAGAAAAGTGCTGACAATCTTAGTCGGTGCTGAAAAACTTAGACAATTACTGACCCATTTACTGTCCCTGCTGAAAAACTTAGACAAGTGCTGACATTTACTGATAATTACTGTCCCTATTGTTCTCGCTCCCGGGGAGGCTGCAGTGGTGTGAAAATGACTGTGTGTTATACTTTGTATTTAAAAACAGTCTTATTTTAATTTTTGATGAAAAAAAATCCCTGACAGTTATTATTTTTTTTAATCTAAATATTATTTTTATCTGTAAAATAATTCAGAATATGAATTGAAATTAACTATGAGTAAATCAAGTTTAAATTTATGTGTTGAATATATCTATCCCTGTTCAATTAAAGAATTAAAATTAATTAATCATCAAGTTAATTTTCATCTAATTATTTCTTTGCAGACAGATATCTGACTTTAATATAAAGCCCCCCCCCCCCTGTTTTCACGATCGGAAAGTTGTATCAATTTTCTTTTCACAAACAGGACAGATGTCTCTTGTTAAAAAAGGAAATCTTCTAAATATTGAATAATTACTGATAGGTAATTCAGTTTCCTAATATTTTCGGACATATCTGTACAAGTCATATAAAATTTATTTAACGTGAAGCGGTCCCCCATCCAAGGGTTAAACAAGCTCGCCGTTGCTTAACTTGCCTGAAATAGAGGGAAACTCTACCGCATCACCAGAAAAGGGAGCTCACTAGCGAAGCAGTATAAGTTCCCTATATACTGTCCGCTACAATTATATACCCCTGTTTAAGATTTCCGGTTTCATTTGCTCATACGGGAGTTCCCCTATTGTACTATGCCTTGTTAATTTTGTCACTTAAAACATTATATCTAAATGAATGGTTGGTTGATCGATTACGCAGGGTTCATAAGTACTCAATATCTGTAAGTCCGAGACTAATAAATAATTATCAGACTAGTAATAAAAATTCATGTACTAGCAATTATAGTAATCTTACGGAAAATATTTATATTTACTAGGTCAGCGGTAAGACTAATATTAGCAGTAGCACCATTTTTCTCCAATATTTTTCTTCTCTCCCTCCCTCCCTCTCTCTCTCTCTCTTAAAGATACAAACAGTATTGACACTTTATGTTACTTAAATACTTGACAAGTGCTCCGTTTATTCACATTGCCGAGGGGGTTAGATCATTATTTAGTTTTTGAACTTAATTCTTAAGTATTTTTTAATCATGATTCAATTTTAACAAAAATATTACATGTTTCATAATTCCAATTTCCTCCTGTAGCTATAGGTGAATTGGAATTAATCTAATTTTATGGTGTTATGATGTTAACTTAATAAAAAGGCAGAGGGCGGACTTGTCTAGTATTATTTTACGAAGTAGTGAAATTGGAAGTCATTAGTCCGTTGAACCAGTGCTCACAAATATTTATTCCGAACCCTCTAGCATACATGTATAACCCCCCCCCCCCCCTTACACACATGTTACATGAAAAAATATCTAGTACACCGGTACTTGAATATGAATTTTATAAAAATGTGCAAGTTTTTGTGAATGATGCAAATTTCTTTGTCCATTTGATCAATTTATACCCGTAATCATTATTTATTTGATTCATGTTTCATTAACATCTTTCCTTTTCATAAGAGTAAGATTATTATTATAAGATACTAACTGTATGTGCCCATTATCTTCCGTGTTGAGTAACCATTCATCTCTCTCTTTCTCTCCCTCCTCTCTCTCTCTCTCTTTCTCCAAAAAATCAATATCGACCCAGGCAAAGTTTCAAATATATTTAAACTCCGGCTGTTTTCTTTTTACTGGCATAATATTCTGCATATAAATCGTGTTTGATTTTTAATTATTCTTAATTACTGATAAAAAGTTGAGGAAATATACTATGAACTATTTTTTACTTGATTTGATAATCAAACAAGTTCCTAACTCAACTGTCCCACACACACACTAACACGACTTAACAAAAAATATTAGGAATCAGTAATTTGTACAAAACTTTGGATGTAATGTATCCCTTCTCATATTTATTTTTGCTTAAATCTTTAAACAATTTGTGCCTTTCCCCGCTTGGTTTTTACATCAATCTTCTTTTTTCATTAATCGTTAATTTTTTCTTACGTCGGTATATTAAAAAAAATATTTATTTAATCTAAGAAGAGGTTGAAGGTTTGTAGATTGCATAATTATTTATATTACGTATGTGTTGGTGTTGAATTTCTCAAATTCAGACTGTCTTGAAGAAGAGTCTACCTGCATGTCGCCGTAATGTTGCGTAACTAACTTCCAGTGAAATCCGGCGAGTGGTCTTCTGTATAATGCTGTAGTGACACCTATTGTCTTCTTTACCCGCTACCGTACACACTCGGATCGCCTCAGGCGATTTCTTGTACACACAGGTGCTTCACCAAGTTTCCGATTGTATGTTGAATGCTTATGTAATTCGGCTGGATACTAGCTAAACGACTTGAATAATTTTTGACGAATAAAAAGCACAGTGTTACTGTAAAATCATGATACTGGTTTCGATACCGAACAAAGCTATGAAACGTCGATTTATTAAGTTAATTTAATATGTTTACTTTAATTAAATTTATTAATTTTTTTTACCTATACAGATAAAAATGAGTACAAACTAAACACGACAGTATTAATTGTGTGTTCTACTTAAGTAGAATAAATAAGTACATGTTCATCGTTCTACATTTAGTTCGCACCTGCTCCCCCCCCCCCATTTTAATTTGAAAAGAAACTAGATCCATGTGAACGTCTACCGACACTCTAATTGGAAAGAACATTGATATTAATTTCTATCAAAGTTTTGTTTCAGGACTATGCATAGACAAATGATGATAATATAAAATGTCATAGTTTTACATGTATTTGAATTAAAATAACACTTTCAGGTGGGATTCCAGAAAATCCAGATTCGAGAATCAGCTAAAAGATGTACATTATTTCAAAAGAATAATGCGGACAGTAACTAAATCAATGAATGTCAAAGGATCAATGATCAATCCAGGCCCCCTCCCCCTGCCCAATAAATAAAATTTAAAAAAATATATTTAAATCCCCCGTCTGTCTTTTAATTGTCGAGTGGTTTCTTCTTGCAAATGCATGGATTCGGGTATGTTTGACTGCACAAAAACAAATGTGGGCGCCCCCCACAAAATCAAAAATTTTACATCATATGAAAACTTTAACAAACGCCTTTCCTCAAAAGAGGGCACCCACGGCCTCACCGCGCGCTATGAGTTTATTAAAATTATTCAAACTAATTTAAATAAATCAAATTAAAATTGAATAAAACACATCTAGCCTAACAGTTTAATTCTTTAAATTAATATTAAAGAACGTCAGGGAGTTAATGTTAATTGAAAAAAAATAATATAAAATGCATGTCATGTAATAACATTGTTTTCTTATAAAAAGGAAAAGACCTCTGTAAAATTTCATATCTCACTACTAAACGAAGATTTTTATTCTATTTTAATTGCTTATCTTTTTGAAGGTTTTGAAATTTTATCCCTTCTCTTGAAAATATTTTTTCACAAATCAATTTTCTATAAATCGATCAAATAAGCTTCTTTTTTTTTCAAACACATCACCTGGACATAGTTAAAAATTATATGAAAAAACAAATAAATAAAATAATAATCTATGTTAAAATAAAAAAAAAAAATTCGAATCAATCAATTCAACACCATTGCAGCCTCCCGGAGAGCGAGAACAATAGGGACAGTAATTATCAGTAAATGTCAGCACTTGTCTAAGTTTTTCAGCAGGGACAGTAAACGGGTCAGTAATTGTCTAAGTTTTTCAGCACCGACTAAGATTGTCAGCACTTTTCTAAGTTTATCAGTACCGACAGTAAAAAGGTCAGTAATTGTCTAAGTTTTACAGTAACGACAGCACATTGTCAGTAATTTTCTAAGTTTGTCAGTAAAAAATGGGAATGTCAGTACGTTTTTGACTTAGTAGTGATAAGACTCATTCGATCGAGATTTTTGGGTTATAATAAACGTTTTTTAGCTCAGCTGAGCCGAATGCTCCAGACAAGTTTTCTGATCAAAATTTACCCGTTGTCTGTCGTTATCGTCGAAATCTTTTCACATTTTCAAATTCTTTTCATGAGTCACTAAGCCAATTTCAATCAAACTTGCCACAAAGCATCCTTGTGTTAAGGGAATTTAGATTTGTTCAAATGAAGGAACAAACCCGCTTCTAAAAAGAGATAATTAGGAAGAATGAATATTAGCAGTCTCGTTTAAAGGCATAATTTCCTACATTCTATTGGAGATAAAACGACATTTTTAGCTAATACAATGTTTTATTAAGTTAAATGCTGACTGCTGGTTTTCATACAAATTATTTGACCTTTATTTACGTACTAAGTTGTTGACAGAGATTTTCCGTTATTTCCAGGTCATGACAAGGAGTATTCATCCATTGTAACTTATTTCGCAAACAATGCTCAACTCTGATGTTCTAGAGGTCTGTGTTTGTATTGTTAAATGGACTTTTGAGCCTTAATATTGCTCCTTTTATTAAACTGTAGTATGTAAAGAAGGATTTTATGGACAAACATGTGAAGAATGTGGGCACTGTAGGAATGGAAGATTCTGCAACATCACCACGGGTGAATGTCCAGACGGTTGTGTGGATAATTGGAATGGATTATTGTGTGCAGGTAAGGCATTATGGTTGTCATAAAAAAGATAAATGGTCAAAAGGGTAGAATTCTCTTGAACTGGTACTTGACAATGTGAACAATTTCAAATGCGAGCTACCTTCGTAAAAGTTTGCTTGGATAATATGTATGGACATCACTGTAATGATAAATCAATAAATGTGGTCACTGTCTGATAAGGACTCAGAATCACGTGACTGCGTATGAAAATGGTTTTCTCTTGGCGTTGCTATGCAGAATGTATACATACCGCCATTTTCTATTCACTTGAACAAGTCTCATTCGATCAAGTTTTTTAGGGTCAGAGTATATGTTTTTTAGCTCAGCTGAGCCGAATCCTCGAGTGAAGTTTTCTGATCAAAATGTACCCGTTGTCTGTCGTTATCGTCGTAATCTTTTCACAATTACAACTTCTTTTCATGAATCACTAAGTTTATTTCAATCAAACTTACCACAAAACCTCCTTGCGTAAAGGAAATTCAGATTTGCTCAATTTAAGAAACAAGCCCGCTTCTAAAAAGAGATAACTATGAAGAATGAATATCAGCAGTCTCATTTCAAGTCATCATTTCGTACCTTCTATATTTGAGATACAATGATCTTGTTAGCTTATACAAGGTTAAATTAAGTTAAATGCTGCCTGCTGTTTTTCATACAAATTTTTTGACCTTTATTTACGTACTAAATTGTCGACAGATATTTTCGGCTGTTTCCCGATCATGACAAGGAACACACATGCATTGTAACTTATTTGGCGAGCAATGCTCAACTCTGATGTTCTAGAGGTCTGTACTTGTATTGTTAAATTGACATTCGAGCCTTAACATTACTCCTATTATTGGTCTTTAGTATGTAAAGAAGGATTTTATGGACAAACATGTGAAGAATGTGGGCACTGTAGGAATGGAACATTCTGCAACATCACCACGGGTGTATGTCCAGACGGTTGTGTGGATAATTGGGATGGATTATTGTGTGCAGGTAAGGCATTATGGTTGTCATAAAAAAGACATTTATTGTCAAAATAGTAAAATTCCGTGAACTAGTACTTGACAATGTGACCAAATTTCAAATGAAAACTATCCTCCTAAAAGTTTGCTCGGATGGTATGTATGGACATCACTGTGATGATAAATGTGGTCACTGTTTGGTAGGGACACAGAATCAGGGAACTGCGCATGAAATTGTTTTTCTCTTGCCGTTGCGCCGCGAGGGGATCCGGGTTAGAATAGGTCCTCAGTTCCCCCTTGCTTGTCGTAAAAGGCGACTAAATTGGGCGGTCCTTCGGATGAGACCGTATAAATCGCGGCCCCGTGCCACAGCAGGTGTGGCACGATAAAGCTCCCTTCCTGCTCAAAGGCCGTAAGTGCCGAGAATAAACCTAAATTTGCAGCCCTTCACAGGCAATGGTGACGTCTCTATATTAGCGAAATATTCTGGAGAGGGACGTTAAACAGTATACAATCAATCAATCAATCTAGCCGTTCCTATGCAGAATGTATACATACCGCCGTTTTCCATTCACTTGAACAAGACTCCTTCGATCGAGTTTTTAGGGTTAGGGTTGATGTTATAAAGCTCACCTGAGCCGAATGCTCGAGTGAAGTTTTCTGATCAAAAGTTACCCGTTGTCTGTCGTTATCGTCGTAATCCTTTACATTTTCAACATCTTTTCATGAACCACTAAGCCAATTTCAATAAAACTTGCCACAAAGCATCCTTGTGTAAAGGGAACTTAGATTTGTTCAAATGAAGGAACAAGACCACTTCTAAAAAGAGAAAATTATGAAGAATGAATATCAACAGTCGTGTTTAAAGTTATCATTTCGTACATTCTGCTGGAGATAAAACGACCTTTGTAGCTTATACCATGTTTAATTAAGTCAAATGCTGACTGCTGTTTTTCATACAATTTCTTTGACCTTTATTTACATACTAAATTGTTGACAGATATTTTCCGTTATTTCCCGGTCATGACAAGGAGCACACAGCCATTGTAACTTATTTGGAAATCAATGCTCAACTCTGATGTTCTAGAGGTCTGTGCTTGTTTTGTTTAATTGACTTTTGAACCTTAATATTGCTCCTTTTATTTATCTTTAGTATGTAAAGAAGGATTTTATGGACAAACATGTGAAGAATGTGGGCACTGTAGGAATGGAACATTCTGTAACATCACCACGGGTGTATGTCCAGACGGTTGTATGGATAATTGGGATGGATTATTGTGTGTAGGTAAGACATTATGGTTGTCATATAAAAGATATATGGTAAAAATCGTAAAATTCTCTTGAACTACTACTTGACAATGTGAACAAATATTCGTAACAGATTGCTCGGATGGTATGTATGGACATCACTGTAATGATGAATGTGGACACTGTCTGCCAGGGACATTGTGTGATAAATCAACAGGAGTATGTCCTAAAGGATGTAAAGAAAACTGGACCGGTCCTAAATGTGATGGTAAAACTTATACAAAATATAAGGACAATCAAATCGTATATGCAGTATATTTTTATGTGAGAAATATTATGAATGATTTTTAAAAAATCATTTTTGATTTATCAATTAATGAGTATTTTGAATTATCTATTTTGTATAGTGTATCGATTACTCATTGGATGTTATTTTAAATGACTATTTACAGGAATAAACTAGCCTGAAATAAGATGATTTCATGTATTTTACTTTTACTAAGTTTTATTTCTATTATGTGAATAATCGGATATTTTTGCAATTAAATGAAAAGAAATATTTTTTTTTGACGAAATCTTGCTTTTTAATTTTTTGTCGTGTTTTGGGGAAGTTTCTAGTTTGCTGTCCCCGGAATCACGCGACTGTTCATAAAAAAGTTTTTTCTCTTGCCGTTGCTATGCAAAATGTAAACACTCACTTTTACAAAACGCATTCGATAGAGATATTAGGGTTAGGTAATATGGTTTTTTGCTCAGCTGAACCGAATGCTAGATAGAGGTTTTCTGATCAAAATTTATCCGTTCTCTGTCTTTAGCATTGTAATCTTTTCACATTTTTATTTCTTCTCATTAACCACATAGCCAATTTCAAGCAAACCAGCTACAAAGCATCCTTGGATATAGGGAATTCAGATTTGTTCAAATGAAGGGACAAGCCCGCTTCTTAAAAGAGAAAATTATGAAGAATGAATATCAGCAATCTCGTTTAAAGTAATCATTTCGTACATTCTATTGGCCATACAATGACCTTGTTAGCATATAACCCTTAATTTAGTCAAATACTGACTGCCGTTTTTCATACAAAATTCTTTTACCTTAATTTACGTACTAAATTGTCGACAGATATTTTCCGTTGTTTCCCGGTCATGACAAGGAACACACAGCGATTGTTACTTATTTGGCAAGGAATGCTCAACTCTGATGTTCTGGAGTTCTGTTTTTGTATTGTGAAATTTATTTAACTTTAGTATGTAAAGAAGGATTTTACGGACAAACATGTGAAATATGTGGGCACTGTAGAAATGGAACATTCTGCAACATCACCACCGGTACATGTCCAGACGGTTGTATGGATAATTGGGATGGATTATTGTGTGCAGGTAACGCATTATGGTTGTCATATAAAAGATAAATGGTCAAAATGGTAAAACTACTAGTACTGGACATTGTAAACCAATTTCAAATCAAAACTATCTTTTTAACAGTTTGCTTGGATGGGCTGTATGGACATCACTGTAATGATGAATGTGGACACTGTCTGCCAAGGACATTGTGTGATAAATCAACAGGAGTATGTCCTAAAGGATGTAAAGAAAACTGGACCGGTCCTAAATGTGATGGTAAAGTTTATAAATGAAAAGACAGTCACATCATACATGTCATATATTTCTATGTGAGAAAGATTATAGATGACCTGTTATAAACAATATTTTAATTTTCAATGAATGATTTTTTTAATCATTTATTTTGTATTGTGTGTGGATTACTCATTGGATGTTATTTAAATGACTATTTACAAGAGTAAACTAACACAAAATAAGATTTTATGTACTTTACTTTTTGAATAAGTTTAAATTTTATTAATTGAAAAAATTGGACATTATGGCAATGAAATGAAAAAAAAAATTCTTTGACAAAATCTGGCATTTGTATATTTTGTCATGTATTGGGGAAGTTTCTAGTATGCTGGTCCCCAGAATCATTCGTATGAGCATGAAAAAGTTTATCTCTTGCCGTTGCTATGCAGAATGTAAACATAACGCCATTTTCCATTCACTTGAACAAAACGCATTTGATGTAGTTATTATGGTTAGAGTATATGATTTTTAGATCAGCTTAGCCGAATGCTCGAGTGAGGTTTTCTGCTCAAATTTACCCGTTGTCTATCGTTATTGTCGTAATTTCTTCTAATTTTCAACTTCTTCTCATGAACCACTAAGATAATTTCAATCAAACTTGCCAGAAAGCATCCTTGGGTAAAAGGAATTCAGATTTGTTCAAATGAAGGGACAAGCCCGCTTCTTAAAAGAGAAAATTATGAAGAATGAATATCAGCAATCTCGTTTAAAGTAATCATTTCGTACATTCTATTGGCCATGCAATGACCTTGTTAGCTTATACAATCTTTAATTAAGTCACATGCAAACTGCCGTTTTCCATACAAAATTCTTTGACCTTTATTTACGTACTAAATTGTTTTCCGTTATTTTCCGTTATTTTCCGGTCATGACAAGGAGCACAAAGCCATTGTAACTTATTTGGTAAACAATGCTCAACTTTGATGTTCTAGAGGTATCTGTTTCTCTCTTTTATTTAACTTTAGTATGTAAAGAAGGATTTTACGGACAAACATGTGAAATATGTGGGCACTGTAGCAATGGAACATTCTGCAACATCACCACGGGTGTATGTCCAGGCGGTTGTATGGATAATTGGGATGGATTATTGTGTGAAGGTAAGGCATTATGGTTGTCATTTAAATGATATAGCATAATCGTAAAATTCTCTTAAACTAGTACTTGACGATGTGAACCAATTTCAAATGAAAACTATCTTCGTAACAGTTTGCTGGAATGGAAAGTATGGACATCACTGTAATGATGAATGTGGACACTGTCTGATAGGGACATTGTGTGATAAATCAACAGGAGTTTGTCCTAAAGGATGTAAAGAAAACTGGACCGGTCCTAAATGTGATGGTAATGCTTATAAATGAAAAGACAATCACATCTGTCATGTCATATGTTTCTATGTAAGGAAGATTATAGATGACCTTTTATATACATTTTTGATAGTTTGAAGAATTAAATTTGTATAATCTATGATATAATCATTGAAAGTTATTTAAATGACGATTACCCGGTATTTAAAAGGGTAAACTAGCACAAATTAAGATCTATATCTTACTTTCTATATATTATTGTGTTTATTTCATATATAGGTTTTGTTGCAATTACCTAAAAATAAATATTCTTTGAAGAATTTTTACATTTTCATTTTTTGTCATCTATCGCAAATAAAAGATTACTTTAAGTTTGATCATATAGTGTGAGCTTTCCTATATTTACTTTCTATTCTGCTTAGCTATTTAATTATAATTTGGTTTTCAGAATGTCAAGATTATAAATACGGACCAAACTGTGCGTTTGACTGTGGTCACTGTAAAGACGACAAACCATGTTCTAAAGTTTCCGGAAAATGTGAAGCCGGATGTGTGACTGGATGGGCTGGGTTGTTTTGTTTGAAAGGTTTTTCAATCTTATCTTGTGATATTATGGAGATTATATAATTTTATGTTCAGAAGTCAATCTCCTATATCTTGAAGTAAAAGTCAAATTTATCGAAAGAAAAATAAAAAAAGAAATTTATAATCTATATTTATTTAAAGATTATTTATTTAAAGCAATTCTCAACTGTAATTTCAGAATCATCTTCAGCTAAAGAATTAAATGCAGGTTTGTTTAAATAAAGGAGTAGCTTAAATCAAGAATGTGAATTTTGTCATGTATAAAAAGAAACATATGGTCATGTATATTTAAAGGTAGAGATTATAGAATTTCATAAACAAAGCATTTTTTTTTATTACAGATGATGGTTTTTCAAATGTTTCAAATGCGGTTATATACATTGTTTCAACACTTGTTGTAGTAACCCTTATATATGCAGTGGTAAGGTTGGTATACAAGAAAGTTAAACGGGAACACCAAGAAAGTATACCTGGAAAGCTTTACGATCAAATAGCTGAAACGATCTCCAATCCAACATATCAAAAGATATTTTCCAAATCGGACAGTTCTCATTATCAAGAAATGCATCTCTACAGCAATGACGAATTCTCTCGAGAAAAATAATTCCGTGAACTCAGCATGGCTTTTTTAAGCTTGTTAACGTCCGTGTTTATTAGAAATTTGTTTTATAACGACGATAAATTGGTTTTTTATGATCTGTTTTTCAATATTCATTTAGATATTTACGAATATATCATTCTTTTTTCTCTTGAATGTTTACATTATTTTCAGTTGGTAATGATACGAAATTACTTCAGACTGCTTTTGTAATATTTGATGAAGAATTAACCTTGAATCAAAGTTAATGCAAATTAACAAGGGATTTTTTTTATTTTCCGTGTTATATATCGTTACATTGATTCCCATATATCCATCATTCCCTACTTTAACAATGATTTTGGGTAGGATATTCAATAATTAGTTCAGATGGTTTTTCTGTTTTATCACGTAATACTTTCTACGTCATTTTTATTTATTATTAAATGATGATTACTCAACGGCTCTTTATTTTGATATAAATATGAAAAACAAGTGACAAAATCGAACCATTTATTTTAAAGTGTTTCATGTGCAAAAGTATACTGATGTATTCAAAAATATGAAAGAATGTTTAGAAAGAATTTGGTTTTATATATATATATATACTTTTTAAAGAAAAATGCCTGTTTGTGTGACAATATCTATAATAATTTAGTTATATAGTACAAAACGTAAACACTGGAATGGACGAGAACGGAAGATGTCAAGGCACACGGTGATTTTATTGCAATTCAGCAATTTTCTCTGAATCTTTAAAAGTGTAACCAAGAAATCACAGGCTAAGCATTGTACAGAGAAACCAGCAGTACATTAATTACACAGAGCCCCGTAAGATCATTTTGATAACTGTACACGTCATTGTTTATCATCAATACATACAATGAATAACAAACATTTTTGTGACGATATGATGCTACAAATTGGCCGTATAGAAAATAGAACAAAGGATATAATAAACTTCAAATGTGTATTCATAAGGATAATGCAGTAATTGAATTGGAACTGCTTTATTTGTTTAGGAATATAGCCATCCGATCGAATTAAATTACTGTCTAAGGGAAAGTTTTTACCCTTGCATTGTTTTGGGATACATTAACGTCTGATTACTATCTTTTCAAAAGCAATAGTTTACATGTGTAATGAAGGATGTGCATTGTGAATACACTATGGATTCACGCTACTGTCTAACTAAAGTGTTCATGACTGATCTGTCTTCACAAGTTACAATGTTTTCCTTGTTTCAAATGTCAGATAATTTCAGGTTGCAGGATGACATATTTTCATTGTTCGTATTTTTTTATGAAAGAAAAAAGAAACAAAATTCATAATCTATATTATTTAAAGAGATACAGAGAGATACAGATAAAAACAGATATGATCCAGATATGTTTAAAACATAAAACATAGTTCATAAACGTTTTATCCAGTTTTTCCAGGTCCAGGGGAAGCAAATCGAAAGTTATTTCAGATTCCCTATAAATCAAACTTACATTATGCATTTCATTTTGATTGTTTATAATATGGCGCTTCGGGTCGCGGCGATCAATTACCACAGGGCCCAACAATCAGCAATCAATACAACGAATGTGACGACCCAAATCGGGCGGTTCAAGCACTGGGTACCTCACCAATTCTATAATCAATCAAATTCAATCAATCAATGGTTAATCAATCAGTCGATCAATACCTTTGATATCCATAATGTTGGCAGTGTTAAATGCTCTTGGCAAATATCCTAACACTGAAAGTTTTGTCCAAACGAGACTTTCAAATCCAAACATATAAAACTGCTATCATTGGCAAATAAACATTGTAAAAACAAACTCCGCATTGTAAAATGATACAAGAATTTTAAAAAAAAGTGAGTAAGTGTATGTCCAAACCTGCCAGAGGAAATTTCACCAACTAATTCCCTGAAGGAAATGCCACTTTGTGGCTGTACAATTTCAATCACACCTTGTCATTTAATTTGACAATTTAAAAATTATGCATGTGACATTAAAAAAACATGACAAATTGAGACGACCCCAAACAAGTAAACAAATCTGAGGTGAGATATAAAAACCAGATCTTGACAACTGTGGAAACTGACCAACTGAATGCTTAATATCAGAAATATTATCACCATTGACATCATTGTCATCTACGGTAAGAGATACCTTGTACAATTTCCTAGACATGCTCCAGGTGCTCTCTTGCCCTTATTTTTTTAAACTATTTTTTTAACTATTCTTTAACTATTAAAGGGTAAAGAAATATGTCAATATAGTGGAAAATAATTTAATTCATCTGATGTGGCCCTTTTTCTCGTTATTCTTCTCAAAGGATTTGTTGAATGTGATTTAAAAGGCAACGCAGTAAATTATTTGTTAATACTTATCATGCACAATTAGTGAATAAATATAAAAGATGAAAATAAAACTCACCAGAAGAGAATATAAAACAGAAAACAGAGGACGTTAAACTACACTATAGGCCTATCACCGAAAGTGAGCATGAATAAAACCCGTAATATTTGATAGCATGTATGCATTTAATTTATGTGATTTAATTATTTACTGAGGATTAAATAATTTTAAAACAATGCAAATAAAGATTATATACTAAGAGAGGCAACTAACCTACATGTGTTTAGAGTTCATGCAGCATCTTATATTTATATAAATTTTAAAAAAGAGGAAATTGGTTTGGTAATATTTACTACAAAAATATAGTAAAATCCAATGACATATCAATAAAATTTCATCGAAATTTATCCAAAATCAATCCATATCTGAATTTAAAAGTTATTGCGTCTTTTTTTCCACTTATTATTTTATAGTTCTTACATATATTATTTCATGTATACTATGTGACAATTAACTTGACATTAAAATGCGCTTCAGATAGATGCATGCACATGTGAGCATAGACAATCAAATACTAGTAACGGAAATAATCCATATCCAAATGCCTTTCTTAGTAATTATCACAATCATCTTTAAAGATATACTGTCCTGAACACCTAAAACAAATTGACAAAAATCGTTCTTGTAGCCGGGAATATGGTAATGGCTATTGTCAATAAAAGGAGTTATCGTTCGTAGCAGGAGGCAACTTATACAGCCGAAGGTTGATCGTGCAACCCTGTGGGTAACTATTTTTTTGTATTTTAGATCATCTATGAAATAAGTAATTTGTTATTTGTGTACTACAAGTACATGTGTACAATGCAGTGCTTGATATATCGATCGTTGCTAGCCATTTACCATTATATTTTTGTCTAATAAGTATTAAATTAAAATTAATAGAATATATGTGTATTTAAAAATGCATTACACTGTATCGTTAACTTCATTCTTTATATGTTAAATATATATATATACATTGGTTGGGAAAAAATCATGAAAGAGCAAATGAGATAGCTTTACTGAAAAAAATGCTGGTAGATAGACATTAAATACGTAAGGTAAGGATAGGTTGAAATAGTTCTGTAGCTGGTACAGAGAGAGCTTTGGATGCAAAAACCGGTAATGAAGCCAAGAATAATGCCCTTGTATGATTTTGGATATTTGCAGTGAAACGTCTGAAAAATCATGAAAAGAGAACTTTCTGAAATTTGGAACATCTAGGTATATCTCCTTACAACATTTTTGTCATGTGAAAAGGATCTCTTTAATTGATTGCAGCAAAATATTTTGAACATTATTTATCCAAATAGAATAACGCTTTCACCTTTGTATCTTTGAGGTATATTTGAGTTATATATAGTATAATTGGCTCAACAGGTTTCCACTCATGAACCAATAAAATTACTATATCAAGTGCAATATTAAAATAACATCTATGCAATTTAGGCCACCGAATTACCAATATAACCACTTCGACGTCAATTCATTCATAATGAAATGATGAGTCAATGAAATGCCAATATATTGGCCTTAACAAAGGCCCCTGTTGACCCCAGATTCTGTGCCATCATTTGGCATTCATCGTTGAACAAACAAATTGAGCTTCATTTGTCTAACGTTGGTCCAACACATTGATGATGATTGTGCGTGAAGTAATATTTTTGTATAGAATATTATACAAAGACATCGTACATGTCCAATATTTTATCATTCTGATATAACTGATTTCTTAGTGATTGGTTGTAAAATGATAACTAATTATAGTACTCAATGTTTTACTCCTTTTAAGAGATTTAGCTGCAAATATTTTACCAAGGATCTCTACAAGAATCAAAATAAATGTTTTGTATATGTAGTACTTTATCATTTAAAATACGTTTCAATCTATTTATATAATTAGTCTCACGTCTTACTTCTATATAAAAAATCGATAATAGATGATTGTTATCTCATTTGTGCATTTATATTTTAACTGTGGTTGGTTGATTGATGGCGCTGACTTTTTTTAACTGCTTCGCTCTTGAATTTAATTGTGGTTCGTTCACTACTTTAAACGGCATATTTTAAGTATGTCTCGTGAAAATATACTTATACTTTTTGCTTTTAAATAAGCATGACAGATACTAAAGACTTATGAGCAAAGCATCGTTTTGACGTCACAATGACAAGAAATCGTCAAAGTTATTAAACATTGATGTAATATATTGATTTTACGACTGCGTTTAATGAGCATTTGAAGTGAAATTGAATTCCTATTGTATCTTCAAAATAAATCAAATACATTATATGATGCAAAAATAGTAGATAAAGGTATAAAAATCTTATGCATGTACATTTCTTCATATTAAATTTAATATGTTTTTTTTTTGCATATGAAAGGAATAGAAATCTATGGCATTTAAAATACTAAAAGCACCATAACAGGAAAAGAAGTCAAAAGGTTGGAGCATGCATTGTCGTCAAAATCATTGCCCGCAGAGGAAGTGCGTCATCATCAGCGAAAAATCAAAAGAAATCACTCTCGCATTGAGCAGTAATTATTAATTAGCTCTTCCATTAATTGTAGCTTACACGAGAATAACACATCGGTTTTCAAATATGAAGCCCATTTGCAGTCAACACAAGGATGAAGAAAGTATAAAATTATAGTGAACTGAGTAACAAGTGTTACCGCGTTATGAAAATTTGTCTGCACACACCGATGTACGTTTGAGTCTATATCTTTATGTTTTTCTCTATCCTAGTCTAGGTTCAATGCTTTATTGCTTTTTTCTGGTATTTTACACTCAACCTGATCCAAGTATAAAAATGAAAAATCCGACATCTTCTGTGACTTCGGAGCACAATTTGCAATGATTCTGAAATGCTCTAAGCGTTTTGAAAAATGGACAGTTGCTATTAAATATTTTATAAAATAGTGTTGTGCTTTGTATGCAACATGCATAAATAGTTGTATGTGTTTGATTTATTTTAATATTCAGGGTTTTCTGACTTATCAGATAGGGAATGAATAGTAAAGGAAAAATCGATATGCGTTTCGCAATTTAAACTAAAAACTTTTTTTTATCTTATCAGCGACACGGAATACCAAAATTAGATCCTATAATATGAGTAATGCGGAAGTTTTATATTAAACAAAATGATGTCTGTCGAGACATTTCTGATTCTCGGAGTCCTACCTTTCTCACCTATAGATGGCTTTGGTAATGTAACTTATATTAATATTGACAAGGACTTAGTTTTGACATGTAGGTGTTGATTACATACATTCTATTTTTATGCCCCAGAATGTATTCGGGGTGTACATTGTTTTAATCCTGTCTGTCTGTTTGTCTGTTTATCTGTTTGTCTGTTTGTCTCTCTGTTGTCAACTTCAACCTTCGCCATAACTTTTGAACCGTTAGATAGAGACTTCATTTTTGGTATGCGTACTCCACTAATTAAGCATTCATTCTCTGCAAAATTATTTCTTTCAAATACCAACAAGCTCAATGACCTTGTAACCTATATGCTAAAATAGCTTTTTCGCCATAACTTTTAACCATAGAAGATAGAGACTTTCTATTTGGTACGCATACTCTACTTATTAAGTGCTTTTAAATGACACCAACGACAATGATCGTTTGACATTGACTGTGACCTATTTTCTAGAAATTGCATTTTAGAACTTTGTTTATGCCGGTTGAATAGTGTTTTTTATAAGCATGTCTTGTTTAAAAGAGCTATGAAATTAATGATGTCGATATTTAGAAATACATGTAACTTCCTTGAACAACACTTAATAGGCATTGCTTATTGAAAATATGATGTATGTTTTGACAATTCACATAACATGCTATTAAAGCATGAAAAGCCATTCTTATATTACGTACAACTGCTTGCACATGTTCTAAAAAGTCTTAAAATAAAAATAATGTGATGAATAATAAAGAAACATTGCGTATGTTTACTCCATTGGAAGAAACTATTTATATTCTACAAATGAAGTTTTCAACTACCCTATACATCCTGTTCGAATATAATGTTTATATTACTTCAATTTGAAAAAAAATCACATATTACTACGATGGCCGACAGTGGCTGTAACTTTTGAATAGAAATATTGTAGTTTTGTACAGCATTTTTGTCATTTTTTTGTTTATCCTGTGAGGATCCGGGTCTTCGGTACCCCATTCTTGTCGTAAAAGGCGACTAAATGGGGCGGTCCTTCGGATGAGACCGTATAAACCGAGGCCCCAGTGTCACAGCAGGTGTGGCACGATAAGGATCCCTCCCTGCTCAAAGTGGCGAGCACAGACCTAAATTTGCAGCCCTTCACCGGCAATGGTGACGTTTCCAAATCAGTGAAATATTCTGGAGAGGGACGTTAAACAGTATACAATCAATCAATCATTTTTTGTCACCGAGTTTCAACCCAACTAGTAATGCAAGATGTCCATGTGTACAATTCTTACACCGACAAAGTTCACCTGCGAAACACATTTAAAATTATTTAGTGAGATATGAAAAAAACTAAACTCAGAATAAAAGGGCTGGACTTTCTTATGTTCTACTGGCAAATATATCTAAACGTGTTAAAGCTTTACTTTTTAGTAATATATTATAGTGCTTTTTGTGCATTGGAACATAAAATATAATGCATATCATTGCCTCTGGAGGTGAAACAACCCCTTTTAAAAACAAACAAGAAATTGTCAGATATCTTGTAAGCAGTTCAGGTCTTTACCCAAAATTGAGAAGGAAAAAAAAAGAATATTTACTTATATTGAAAAATGTCATGTCGAATTTCACAGACACATTTTCATTAATTAGAATCACCATACGTTTACTCACTTAAATTAATTTAACCCTTTTTAATTTCACAAAATACTCTGGTACTTAAATTATTAAGCAGTATTGCTAAGCACTGTAGAGTACAGTTTTCAAATAAAAATACAGATAACGCTATCAGCAAAACCACATTTAAGGAGATTTATGGAATAATTCTTGAAAATTGTTGTTGTTGTTTTGTTTTGTTTCTGTTTTATTTTGTTTTTGTTTTTGTTTTTTTTTTTTGGGGGGAGGTGGGTGGGGGGGGGGGGGGGGAGGAACAACTAATTTTCGGTGTTCTATGTTCGAGGGATTAACATCTAGTTAGAAAATTATCCCATAAAATTAAACCGCTTTACGTAGATCCTTGTAATTTAACACATTTAGTTTGAATGAACTGTTCTATCTATAGAATAACCCAATAAGATTAAGGTTTTCTTAATAAAAGTGTATTTTTAAGTAATTATATGTGCAGGCGGTGCAACCTCACCCATGATTTTTTTTTCCCGTTGTCAAACTGAGAAAGACTTTTTTAATAAGCACTTCATCCGAAAAAAAAACACGTCAAATCAGGCCAGTTGAATGACACTTTTTTACATAAACTGCAAATTTTACTTCATTTTGTGCATTCCTAGATTTAATGTGTGTGTCCAAAGAGGAAAGGACAGAAAAATGAAGTCAAAATGGGAAGGGCTTCTTTTTCAAACATTCTATAAATTTTCAAAACTGCATTGTGTTCATGACATCGTAAAGTCTTATAACCAAGTACTCGTTTACATATTTACATAACTCTAGGGAATCAAACTCTCATCAGATCAATAGCAAGAGCAAAATTATTTTAATTTCTGTATGCGTATAATTTTTCCATTTCATTTTTACTTGAATTTGTGCAAGTCTGTTTGCATTTTAATCCAAAATATGGAGATTTTTAAAAAAGCGCGGTAAAGAAATCTGACGTCAATGCAGAGCAACGAGTATACGTAAAATTTAGTGTAGCCTATATAGAACTCTTAATTTTTCTTGACATATCGATCTGCTAAAACAATAAAAATGAGAAAAAATTGTTTACGGGTTTGATTAGCAATCATGATAGATATTTTTTTTCACCAATATTTTAGCCAGATTAAATGCAAAAGCTCTGGAAGACCTTCAATTATTACAGAGTAAATGGCGTTGCCATGCACTCATTGCATTAATAAATAATGAATTATATGCAAAGTGAAAATAAATATGACACCTCTATATTTTATGCTTTTGTAGCAACATCACATTAAAAAAAATTAAATTGTTTAAAGGCAGAAATTTTTTACCGGGTGGTAAATTCCAGGTGAGGGAGGGGCTTATTTTGTACAGGTGTGAATGCCTTAGGGGCTAGCAGTCTACCTGTGGTCATCTGTCTCATAATCCCTATACCCAGGAAGTGATTTAATACACAGTGAAATACCCCAAGGTGTCAAACTTTACCTGTGTTGGTAATTTTGAGAGAATTTTAAAATTAGAAGTAAAATTAGTAGTAATGGTTTTTTTTTTAATTTTCAATTATATATTGATTTATTTTTGACTGTTTGAAAACACCCCTACTCATTTAAAAAGATTATTATGATATCATACAATGAATTCAAATGTTAAAACTAAGATTTGTTTCGATGTTAATACATGTATTAATATGAAAAAAAAACTCCTGTAACAACCAACTGAAATGAGACTCATCCCCAGGACCCCATCTATGAATTAAATGAAAAGAGAGTTGTGTTAACTACATCTCACTAAAATAAATATCTAGATTTATCCTAACCTTAACAAAGCTTTGTTTCCATGAAGCATGCTAAAAAGATTGCTTGTAAATTCTTATTTGATTAAAAAAGGAAAATATATTAAGTGACCCATGGTAAATAACATTATTTTTTTTAATTTAATAACTTTACATAGTGCTTCTCTGAACTTAATCAATAACATTTCCACTTTAGATTTACCATTTAGCATATTAAAATTAATATAGAAATTTCATTTGAAAAACAATTATGTACCAAAATTTAAAAAAATGCATATTATATTATAATCCTTTCAAAAACTAAAGGTATATTCAATTCACACATTATTGATCTAAAAATGTTCATGGTTATACAGATTCTATACTATGTTCAGTAAACATCAAAGGATCATAAGTTAATTGGAAGGTCACCACGAGTCCCAAACAAGATGTACAAGGTATACACAGAGACCAGTAAGTAAATGTCAATCAAGTTCCAGCATCCAATGATAGACCTTCATCCTCTAGATTGACAGGGCTACCCAGACCAGGTATTTTTGAAGGCGGCGCTTAAAATCTCTGCCTTTAAGAACACTGACAGTTTGATTTTTGGAATGTAATATGTGAAAACAGGGAAAAAAGTGTACACGCTTGAAGAATGATTGACATGCAAAAACATCATAGGCTGACGCGGTGTTAAATGACGTGGCAATGCTGCTTCAGGTCGATAAACGTACACATGTTAAACATTTTGCTGGAACTTATGGTATAATTTTATAAATTATAATTTTTGAGCATTTTATTTATCTATATATAATATGTTGACAAAATTTCATGGATTTATCTTTGTCCTTTGTTGAGTAAAAGTAAATGTTTAAGTAATTTCCGAATAGCCCTCGTATGGAAAAGAATTGAGGGATAATAGAATTTTACTCTTTTTTAGAATCTCATTTATCTTTAGTAAAATGATAAGTTTAATAACTTCATATATTCTGTATTGCGTACACACCCTTTCTCACTTGCTTTTTCATAAGTGAAATAACGATAGTGTATGTAACCATTGGCTTTCCTCTAAGATTACCCTCAGCCATTTTTTCTCCCATGTGAAGTTTTAACAAGTGTACAATTTTTTTACCAGTCGGCAGGGGATGCTCATCCCAAAATGGCATCAATTTGCTTGTTTACATTTTGTAATGTATAATGGTCTTTTGAACTCGTGTGCTGTTCATTATCTCCACATATTTCATAAATATATTTTACGTGTAACTTCAACATCCCAGGAAGGAAATTATTTTTAATTGACTGCTTATTCTGTGCCCTTTTAAGAAGAAAAAAAATTGAAAACAATTCTTTCTAAAAGTTCTTGATGAATAAATTTGAGGACTTTCATATTTAGAAAGGCATTATTCGTATTTAAGAAAGATACTTTGTAATAATATGATTTGTTTTTGAAGTGGTGCAAATATCAAATGTGTTAATTTCAACCCAAGATTTTTTTTACGTGTAAGTATATATTCAATGAATACAGTCAGACGCAGTTCTTAATAGTTTGTTTCTAAAGTAGACAGGTTTATAAACATGTATGTAAAAATCATTTATATCGCGGGTTTATAACAGGTCTGAGAGAATACTCGAAATCGGGTATTATCCGTGAAATCGCGTATAATACTCGATATTAGGGTATCATTGAATCCGCGAAATCGGGTATTCCGTGTAACATTCTATAAAAACTAAAGAATAAAGCAACGGCGCATAATGCTAGTAACTGTTACTTGTATATCAGTATCTTGTGGATTTATTTTAATTAAACCTAATTCATACGGTTGTCAAATAAGTTTAAAATCACACGACAAACACTGCTAGGGTAACAAAGAGGACACAATGGCGTTATTATTTTTTAGGGTTGTCAACGAGTACCCGGTTAAACGGGTACTCGATCGAACGTCCGAGTATCGAATACTAAAATCGGTACTCGGTTACTCGGATGTATATTTTTAAATATTTCTAGGCTTATTTATTACTGCATTAAACAATCTGTTTTAAAACGTAAAATGCTCATTGCACTTGTACATACAGTAATTAGGGTTTTTTACGACTCTTAATGACCGTTATCGCCTGTGGCAATGTTTATACAGTAATTATCGTGACCAAGCACCTGGGGTACCTGGCTTTTCTCACCTTCGGCTGCCTTCTTCCCTTATTTTTTGTTTGGCTTTAATTATTTGTTTTCACTGAACACCGTTTAAGATCCATTATGTTTAAATAAAGTAGATAATTTTGTCAGTTCTCCGAGAAGCGGTAAATTCTCGGGAAAAGAGCGGATGATATTACACGTGCGATTGTTTGATAACATGCCAATACAACTGGTTGAAGGCAAAGGCTTTTTAAAACCTGATGTCCATTGTTGTATCAAACTGCAAAATACCGTCCCGTAATACTATATAAATCTCGGATCGAACAAAGTGTACTAAAATCGTAAATCCGCTCTGTTACATGTAGGAGAACTTGATCAAGTTCAAGTTGATACGTAAATCCGCTCTGTTACATGTAGGAGAACTTGATCAAGTTCAAGTTGATACTGTACGTAGCTCTGACGACTGATACCTGGTTATCAAACGCGACAAAGAGTTACATTACAATTACGGAGCAGAATACTTTTTTAAACAAAAACACTGTGAACAACTTATGATTTTATTTCTTGTGTTTATCTGATAAATAAATTGAATTCAGAAATTGTTATATTAAATTTTGTCGGGCACGAAGTGCTCATCATTATTACAACAGAAATACATTTACGGATAAGCCTCATATCAGTGCATCTGGTTTTATTTCTACAAGAGTTTACAATGTTTTACAGTCTCCAATTTACTTGTTCATCGTTATTTACACTTTTACCGAGTACCCGGGTACTCGATCGGAAAAACGTCCGAGTAACCGAGTATTGAAAATTGACCGATTTGACATCCCTATTAAATTTCAATATAATTTCTAAAAACAAATAACTACACTTCGTTTGTCTTTATTTCCCATTAGAGTATTCCATATACTTAATTTTCTAATTTGTGCACTATATAAAATGTGAAATTTTAAAGAAATTAAACAACTAACGCCGTGTTATGTATTTTTACTGAAAAATGTATGGCGTCCCTTTCACGTGAAATATAAATTATTACTAACAGTTAGATAGTACAGTATAAGCGAGTCATAATTGTATATCTCTGCCATAATAGAATACCAACGTTATTATAAAGAAGAAAATAAAATAAGATTAAATAAATACCCACGGGAAAACAGTTTGAAATTAGCTATTTGAAGGTGAGTATCTTTTTTTATGTCAATTTAGCATGAAATTTTTATTCACAGACATCGTAATTTTTTTGGTTGCATTTTAATCGATACAAGATATGCTATTATACCTTTATTTTATGCATTTGTGTGAAAATTGAGAGCGAAAAGTCATATGAACAGGATTTTCTTTTTTTTTTTTGGGGGGGGGGGTTATAAATAAAAGTCAAATGTGTACATCTTTTCATGAGTTTTTAATACATTGAATTTCTCTATATAGATCGAGGCAAAGTCATATTGAAATATGAATTACATAGTCAAGTTTTCACATTTCTTATAGTTTTTACGTTTATGAACATGTTAATGAACAAACTGAAATAATGGAGTGTTCAATTGCCTTGGAAACTCTTGTCTTATTTTACCTCTTAACCTTCTATATTTTTTTTATATCGCTATCTTATACCTCATAATAATATGCTAATACAACGCACTATCTTATTGGTTCTAGACAATATGTCACATTTTTTCTTTTAGTTATTTTATCTGTGGTACTTATTACTCATGGCAATAACTTTTCCTAATACTCATCTGTAATGAAAAAAAAGTGTTTAAAAAATAAACATGAATTCTAGTTACTTGTAGTCTCATGTTGTGTTAGAAAATAACAGGATGCTTTTTGATTTCCTACAATGTATATGATTTTTATTTGATGAATAAATCTTCCCTACGATTAAAAATATATGACCGAGTTTAACCGACCATGACATTCAAAAAGAGGTCTCTTGGACACATGTAGAACACATTCAAAGTTGTTTTGTCAGAGGTGGTCAAGAAGCCTTTAGCCCCCCCCCCTTTTTTTTTATTGAAGTCGCCAAGAAAATATTGATGACTTAGCGAAATTAAACGATCAACAGTTATGTTCTCTCATAAGCTGTATTCCTGAAACTATGACTGTCTCTGCTAAAATCTTGAAGACATATTCTGCAAATATGTTTAAATAATAAATAAAATAAAATTTTCAAAAAAAGAGAAAGAGGGTTCTTTTAGCGGAAATTTTAGACATTTTTATCATTACATTATTTATACATTGATATATAAATTTGATCTAAGCACAAGATGAATGTGAAAATTATTAATGACGCATAATTAGATACGATAGACAATCCCTTGTTTATACATGGCATCATATCTTGTGTGATATGGAATTATTATAAATTCCCGAATTCTGATACTTTACAATTCTTTTGTGTTGGGAATGAACATTAGGAAGATGTATATGCTTTCAACATCAGGAAAAATAAGTTTTATTAGGTGATTACACCTTCTATACCCGATTTCGCGGATTCAACGATACCCTAAGATCGAGTATTATACGCGATTTCACGGATAATACCCGATTTCGAGTATTCTCTCCGCCCTGTTATAAAGGCAGCACATGGATCATAATTCTGCGAATTAACACTTTTTTAAAATATTATATTACACTCACTAATGTATCAGAAAAGTCTAGGATAAAACTTTTCCTACCATTATGCAATCTATAAACTTCATTGGGACTTATACTACAGGAAGTACTAGACCACGTCGTCACCACGTGACGTTTTTAATTAGAAAATGCCTTAATGAAAAAGTTCAACACTATTCCGGTGATAATTAATTTCAATTTATAGTAACAGTTATGTAAAAAAAACATTTCTGTACCATGAAAAGTGCTGCTAGAATATTACTGTCCTAATGTATCACAGAAATAATTAATCAACACTTTCCAAATTTTTTACATTTTGTTCATACACCGTTCTCGGTAGCTCATTCGGTAGAGCGCTCGCCCCGCGATCGGGAGGTCTTGAGTTCGTATCTCGGTCGCGACTGACCTAAGTCGATAAGAAAAATAAGTAGCAACTGTTCCTTCGCCATGCGCTTGGCACTTTGAAGTGAAGGTTGCGGGTCCTTCGGATGAGACCTTAAAAACCAAGGTCCCGTGTCAGCAGCAGGCCTTGGCACGATACAGATCCCTCATTGCTCAATGGCCCTTATTGCCGAGTAAAGGTCAAAATTTGAAGCCCTATACCGGCATACGGTGACGTCTCCATATGAGTGAAAAATTCTCGAAAGGGACGTTAAACAATACACAATCAATCAATCATTTTGATCATAAGATCGAAAAAATGTCCCAATTCCCGTTAAACATACGATTCTAGCAACATTTTCCAAAAACAGCAGAATAAGATCTTAAGAAAGAAACAAAAATTAAATTTTAAAGTATTCAGTGCATTTTTGAATGTTTGCATATTTTTTGTTAAGAACGACAGAGGAAAGGCTGATCAGCAAGTAAACACAATACTTTTATTGTACATGTACGAAGGAATATATATATATATATATATATATATATATATATATATATATATATATATATATATATATATATATATATATATATATATATATATATATACCTTATTAGTATGTTTTATTCCCACATGAAATACATATGATGTTCATTCTAAATGCTTTTAAACTCCGATTTCTTTTGTTTGTTTACATGAATTTTCGTTACGTTTCACTTTCACTGTGCTAATACACAAAATCAAATATGTTAAATGATTGTCTACCTATTACTGTTTTAAATGGCGAGGGCAATTGTTTAGTTTTTGTTAATTTCAAACTAAGATATGGCGTGATACAACTATTCAGAAAGAATATTACCAAAATAACTATTATAAATTTGTAAATACATGTAAAACTTGGGTCAGTTATGAGACAATTAAACCGTGTTTTCTTTTTCTGGTATTAATTTCATACATTCTGCTAGCCCATACAATCATCGATAGTTTGCGAAAAATTTCATAATTAAAATTAATCCCAAGCTCTCGCTCTCTCTGTTTTTATAAGAGACACGCTTTAATTGTTTACCTGTCAAAGATCACTGACGGACACGTATCGAAATAAGAAACATGAAAGAACAAATACGAGCGTTTCATATCCTGCATCTAGATAAAATATAAAGCTAATATATTAATTCTGAAATTAAATACATTGGATACATATTGATGTCCATTTTTTATTATACCACATACATGTTTACAATTCAGAATTTTGTTGTATAATTCTGAAATCATATGTTAAATATTGTAAGCGAGTCTGTTAAGTAAAAACCGTGAAAATGATATGAAAAAATAATTAAAATTAAACAAATATTCGAATATCGTTCGATTGAAGCATCCGACTAATTGACTAAGCTGTCCGAGTAAAATTGACATCCCTTATTTTAAGAACTCATATAGCTTACTATGACGTTATATTATATAGGCAAGTAGAGGTTTTAGTTGTAACCTTAACATACCTGCGATGGCATTTCACCGTAAAATGCTCGAAAACACAAATGATACATTTTACAATTTGTATTTACCATCAGAGCGTTTAACAATCAATCCGCTATCAAAATGCCACTACTTGTTTTTCCTGTGATTTGTAGAAAATCTGGCAAAAATTGGTGTTTACAGGGGTCAGGCAACACAGAGCTCATCTTATCCTGACAATAGGTGGTCTGCAGACAAAGCAGTTGATGGACAGCTTCAAGGAGCAAATGAGGATCCTTGCAGTTTTACTAAAGGCGATCATGGGTTTCAATCAGCATGGTGGAAGTTTCCATTGAAAATATTGTCTAACGTGGCATACTTAGAAATTTTCTTTCGGAGATTGAGTAAAAAATATTTTTTTATTATTATCAAAACCATATTAAATCTTTCAGATAACAAAAAAATGCATTTTACTGCGATCATGAAAAAAAATTAGTATGAATACAAGTTAACGTCGTGAAAGCATAAAATTCTGCTGATAACTATAAAATCAAAACATATTACTTTATTTTTTAGCTCACCTGAATCGAAAGCTCAAATGAGCTTTTCACATTTTGTCAGTCGTTCGTCTGTCTAGCTGTTTGTCCGTCTGTGAACTTTTCACATTTCGACTTCTCACCAACCATGGGGCCAATATAAACCACACTTGGTAGAAAGCACCCTTAGATAATGGAGAGTTTGAATTATTTAAATTTAAGGAACAATTCCACTCATAAGAGGAGACAATCAAGAAAAGACAAAAATAGGCTGTGGTTATTAAAAAGTCTTCTTCTCAAAAACTCCAGGGCCAGAAAGACTGAAACTTATATGGAAGCATCCTGGGGTAATGTAGATTCTTAATTGCTCAAAGTATGATCCCCCCGGGAGTCGGACAGGGCCAATAAAGGAAATCAAAATTTTACATAGAAAGATATAGGATAAAAATCTAAAATCTTCTCAAAAACCACTGGGCCAGAAAAGCTGTGTCTTTTGTAAGAGCATCCTGGGGTAGTGTAGATTCTAAATTCTTTAAATCATGACCCCCGAATGTAGGGCGGGGCCACAGTAGGGAACCTAAGATTTACATGGAAATATATAGGAAAAATCTTTAAAAATCTTTTTCTCGGGAACTACTGGGTCAGAAAGAAGCACCTTATGCGAAAGAATAGTGATGTAGTGTAGATTTTAATGTGTCAAAATCATGACCCACGGGTTGCGGTCAAAAAAAGTTATATAAGGGAGAAATTTGGTGAAGAACTGCAGTTCAAAGCTTTTAAGGTTAGCGATATGGCCCATGGGCCTCTCGTTTATTTTTTCTTTTTTTTAGCGGTGGATCGTCATGCAGGTTTCTCTGTCTATGTATTTAACGAGACATCTTATGTGCCACCATCATCAGGGGGATATAAAGTGTTTACTCTGCCATCTAACACTTGTCCAAATCAAACAATGACGGTACAAGTCAATAGAGTAACGATGGGTGTTGCTCTTTTTAATTCAAACCAACCGAATTTAAAACGGAGATGTCCAAATTATGAGGAATCGTTTGCATCAATTGAAATATGTGAGGTCCATGTTATGGGTATGTTAAGTATTGATTAACATTAATAACTCCCTCTCCCTACGAAAGACATGTTCTTGGGTGGATATTGCATGGCTTTGATTGAAAATCTGTATGCTAGTTTTTCACCATATAAAGGTTTACACATTTTCACATTACTGGATAACTTCTACTGTATGGAAGGGAATTACCGCCAAAAGTCTATGTATCTTGCTTTTATTCTTATTCTGCTTACTTCTTTATGCTTTGTTGTTATTGTAATTATATGCCACTTTATTGTTTCCATATTCGTCTTTATTACATTTCACTTTGACTTTTATCATTGTTTATCCTTCTTAATTCATTTTGTATTTACGTCTATGTTGCTTTATTCTTGTAAATTCATTTTACTTTCCTTTAAATTGATATAGTTTCTTAAATGATTATAACTATTACGAACGTTAACTCAATCAGGCAAACAATGAAGCATATTCAATGAAGACGAATACAAGTTGTCCGAATTTAGTGCCGCATTATAACGCTAGGTGGCAGGGGTGTTCGCTAAGAGTGTTGGTAAAATTAGGTAAGCAAACCCATGCTGGGGTTCTTCGAGTTTTTTTCAATTTTCTGCCTTAATGCTTTATTAATCAAACTTAAATTTAAAAGACCGATGTTTGTTATAAGTCCAGGTATGTACCCGATACATGCCATTCCCTCGGAAGTCTCGCTAAATGGTAAGATTTCCCCTCGAAGACTGACTACATGTACATAGTGATGCTTCCTTCGGAAGACTATACAGTGGGACTCCCCCCGGGGAAGTTTCAATATATAGCTAGTCTTCCGTGGGAAATCTCGCTATATATAGCAATTCGCCCCCATTCCTAGCAACCCCTCCCCGAATAGTTTTTTTTTTTTTAAATCGTAAAAAAAATTGTAAAACAATGTTTATATATACTAACGTTTTCAGTTTTTGAAGAAAATTTATCCGTTTTATCAGGGACCTATATACTAGTATATACTATAGTATATAGGTCCCTAGTTCTTTATCAATAAATATTTAAATAAAATCATTTTGATAGTTTTTTTTATAATAAAATCATTTTAACCATTTATTCAAATATAGATAATCTTCACGAGTACATATGGATAATGACTCTTTCTCCCCCCCCCCCGGATGCAGTTGCCCGCGTGGCACTGTGAGCGTAGGTTTAGCCGCCCATCCCCACTTTCCATGGACACGATGCAGTAAAGGTTTAAAATGTGGAAAGTGGTGGTATTTGAAAAAAAAACAACTTTGGCACTGGAGTTCGAACCTTATACCCGCCCCACCCCACACTTCTCACGAAATAGGATTTTTGTGTTTGGAAGATGGACATTTTTTTTGCTGGTCAGGTTTTTTTTTTGAAGGTCTAAAAAATTCTTACACTCCCCCCCCCCCCAATTTTCAATTAGCTTCCAACGCCAATCGGGGGCGGGGTGGGGTTTGAGTTAGATTCAAATTCTTCTATAGAATCAAATTTAAATTTTCTTCCTACTATACGTACTACATCTACTTATTTGACCCTTACTCTTACAAAAAGTGGGTCGGTCTATAAATGAACATATTCAGTATAGTATAAAAATATGTCTGAAAAAAAGAAGCCGCTTTTCCTGTGTGCCCAGAGAAAATAAATATGGAGTTTCCATCATTGGATCGGGAGATGGGATCCAGCCTTCAGAAGTTCGATTGATAAAGTCGTATTGAAGAATCTCAAATAACCCGACCCGGGTTTGCTTACCTAGTTTTACCAAGACTCGTAGCGAACACCACGCCACCTAGCGTTATAATGCCGCACTAAATTTTGACGGTTTGACAGCTTCCATTCGTCTTCATTGAATATGCTTAAATGTTAGCGTGATTGAATTAACATTCGTAGGAGAGATAATGCTAATAATTTATTATAGAAACTGTTTAAGTTTAAAAGAAAGTAGAATGAATTTACAAGAATAAAGCAACATAGAAGTAAAGACAAAATGAATAATGATAAAAGTCAAAGTGAAATGTAATTAAGACGAATATGAAAACAATAAAGTGACATATAATTACAATAACAACAAAGCATAAAGAAGTAAGCAGAATAAGAATAAAAGCAAGATGCATAGACTTTTCGCGGTAATTCCCTTCCATACTACTGTGCTTTAGATATGTTTTTTTCTCTCTTTTTTGTAATTACATGTGAATTTGTAATTTTCGTGGCTTTTGGACATAGAATCTACGACTGCTAGTAGTTGGATTGCAGCTTAGCTATTTGTACACAAAAAATATCTCTAAGCATTGAAAACTTCATTTTAGTAGACAGTCTGTAGAAATATAGGAGATGCTTTAACATTATTGAAATTGCTCCAGGACTACATTTTTTTTCGTGGTAGAAAGCTATGAAAGAAAATGAAATTACAGAATAACATAAGTATGCATTTTCTATTGTACCCAGACTTACTGTGATCGTCTGTCTCACTCGTTTCTTGTCTTGCAGGGTTTATCTATGTATATCTCGTATATCTTTTAGAATAGGGCAGAGGAGTGCTATTTACAAAATGTAATTCACCAATTATTAGGTACCATCGAGATTCAGCAAGATCTGACAATATCTTTCCCGACCGAATTTTAATTATTACAGGATGAAACACTTACTATAATGTTGACCTAATAATGACTAATGAATTTCAAAGATAGCAGAATTATCGTATTTAACTCACCAATAAGCAACTTTAAGCAATTTTAAAGTAATAAATACACCATTAGGTATATATAAAGATAACGCAAAACCCTAAATGTATATTTAATGGTTCCGTAATAGTTGTCTAAAAATGGATTAAAAGGGATTAATGGTACATTGTGAATTGTAGCTTCTAGCAAACGATGGTCTTTGAATTACTCTTAAGCCAAGTTTATCATTACACTACACTACCGTTTAATCACCATTGAGTCAGCATTATGTATTGGATTATCCTGCTTTTATTGTGAAATATATTTTTATATTATTTTATTTTACCATAATACATATTGATTTAAATATATATTTCTTAATTCCGCAAGTTTAATATGTAAGAAGGAACTATTTTCATATTTCAAAGTATATATTTAAATGAAATAAAAATAATACAAACAATGTTGCTGACTAATTCTGGTGTTGATCAAAATTTATTTTTGTACTTACAAGGTTGTCAGGCTCAGCATTTTGGCCCAAGGTGCAAATTTTGTGACACTAAATGCTTAAACAGTCAATGTGATGCCTTCAATGGATTATGTATATATGGATGTAAAAATTCATTGATGGTACCTCCAAACTGCAATGGTATGGCTGTTTTAAACATTTTCTAAATCTGTTTTTGCCTGATTTAATTACCTATTTAAAAAAAAAATATTTAATGGTGTCTTCTTTTAAATTGTATTTTTTTTCTTCCAAAAACACCCTTACATAGTCTATTATTGTGGTTTTCTGGTAAAAAGACTAAAAAGCTATTTTTGACATTGAACAGTATCAAAATTTTATCTACTGATTATGGAATAACTATTTATCTTAAACTTTCCAGGAAAACTGAAAGAAATAGTTTTTGTCTGGTTAATTTTCATGAAAAACAATTAGCTATAATATTCTGTAGGTTAAAATATCTTTACCATCAATGTTATATGGTCTGACAAATAAAAACCATGTGTTTACCTAGAAAGATGGAAGCTCTATCAAGATTATGAATAATAAAATTTACATGTCTATGATTTTTTTTCAAACTGAAAGTTTCAGTTGATAATAAGTGATATATTTTAGAATGGTTATACAGCTTCTCAGCTCATGCTTTTCATAAGTAGGGAAAATCTTTCTGTTTAGAAATGGATTCAACGTCCAGACATAAGGATAAACTTCTTTGCAAGTGAGTTAAGGCTAAATATGGATATTTCTATGCAAATGAGCTAATAAAAAATCATAAGTTGTATATTTTATGTACAGAGAAAGTTCAAATTGATTTTCGTATACATACTTAGTAGCCATAGTTTATTAATGCAGTTGCACATTATGACGTCATATTATGACGTCATTGTTCTATCCCATTCAAGCTAATAAATCGCACCAACAAAATCACGTCGGTGCAAAGGCATATTCTATCTATTTTAAAACTACTAATGTATAATATTAAGGAGAATTTTCTTGAAATTATTAAAATTGCTGCATAAATCCTATGCACTTTGTCAATTGATAAAAATTTTAAACAACTTAAACTGGACTGTGAATTTTTACACTGTTTAAATTTAAAACTGCACGACTAGTAACTAAACAATTGCAGTGCCGACATTTGTGCAGCAATATCTTAAATCCTTGAAATATCCTGCGTCTTTTTATACCTTGTTTTTGTAAAACAGAGTAAGGTGTTCCCTTGCACCGAAGCGATTTTGTTGATGTTTCTAATAAACTTGTGTAGTAGAGGCCGATGACGTCATAATATGACGTCATAGTGTGTACTGGCTATCGCATGTTGTGGGTAGCAAGAATGTATCAGAAAACAAGTCTTAACATTTTCTGTGCGGTAGATAGAGCAATTATGGAATTTAATCAATATTTTGCATAGAAAGCTCCATATGTAGTCTTTACTCACTTGCGTTGTTTTTCAACTCTTAAATGAAGCACTAGAATAGATTGACAATTATAGTTTAGGTTCAAAAAATATGATTAGCCGACGTGTGTTTAAGACATAAATACAATTTAATACCCTCAAGTATACCATTAGTCTCAGTAGAAAAAAAATACGCAATTCCTTACCGAAAATGACAAAATATTTTTTTTAGGGATACTCATTATTTTATAATGCAATGCCATTTTTTTCTAATCCTTTGTTGCAGTTTGTAAAGGCGGACACTACGGTATGAACTGTGAGTACGTGTGTGGACAATGCGTAACAGGGACATATTGTGACACTTCAACAATACAAATTAATTTACCTTTTTTTTGTGCAGATGCAACAAATAAAAGTGTGTGTTTTAAGTAATTCAAGTAATATTTAATGGACAATAGTTCTTTTTTTTTTGTTTAGAGCTTATTTCTTCTTAATTGCATGCCCAATAAAAATAAACTTCTAAAAAAGCTCCTTTAGGACTAGAGCATAAAAATAATCAAGTTATATTTTCAGATAAAAAAAAAATGGTCAATGGAATTTGGAGCAAATTTTATATCCTTATTTTCTTTCTCAAACATTTATCTTAATACCCTATAAAAAGTTTTAGAATGTCTTGGATGTTTAAAAGTAACTTTATAAAACATTCTTTGCCGTACTCTCTTACGAAAGGTTATTTAGGACCTATCAAAAATATTTTTGAATTCGTTATAACAGATTCATTGAATTCGTTATAACGAATTTAATTTGTTATAACAGATTCATTGAATTCGTTATAACTAATTTAATTTGTTATAACAGATTAATTGAATTCGTTATAACAAATTAAATCTGTTATTACAGAATTATTGAAATCGTTATAACGAATTAAATCTGTTATTACAGATTTGTTGAATTCGTTATAACCAATTTAAGATTTTGTTTAAGCAAATTCAACAAATCTGTAATAAAAATAAGAAATGACGAATTCAAAAAATTTGTTAAAACAAATATGTTATAACAAATTAAATTCGTTACAACGAATTCTAAAAATCGTTATAACGTATTCAATAATATTTGTGATAGGTCTTAAATGGGCTTCCGTACTCTCTCTAAAAAAACATTGTGACCAATAATAAATTTTCATTATGTACATGTATTGACAAAATACATACAAGCATTTTTAATCAGAGAATGTTAGGCGGCTAACTCTATATTTTAAAAGCACTGTAGCCGACGCCCCGAAAAATGCAACATGCCCCGCTACCTTCAGGCATCGTTTCCATTTATTTTTTACAAAAGGAGCACTCGTCATACATGTGCTCTTACAAAATTTGTTGTTTTAAACTGCATCAGACAATATTAGCAAGAACTCTACCGTGGATTTTGTCTAAAATGTTCGATAACGGTGCATTTTAAAGTTTGTTTGCAGTTAACAGGCTTGGAAGCAACAGTTTGAGAATAACTGTAAGAATGACAGGGTGTAGACATCCCCTTGTATATGATGGAATAAAAGGTTTGAAAGAAAGGGCCTAATAGTGCCTTTGTTATTTATTAATTTTTTGGTATTTTATTTTGTTTTTAGTTTGCAAAGAGGGTTTCTACGGGGGAGATTGTGAGGAGGCTTGTGAAAAATGTATGACAGGGACAATCTGTAACAACATTACAGGGTTGTGTCCTTATGGATGTCAAGATCATTGGGCTGGGGATAAATGCGACGGTAGGAATTAAAAAAAGAACGTAGATGAAAGGTGTTTATATAGATAACATGAAAGATCTGTTTCCGAACGACAGTTAATCATATAATTTGCTTTTGTCAAGATCATTGGGCTGGGGATAAATGCGACGGTAGGAATTAAAAAAAAGAACGTAGATGAAAGGTGTTTATATAGATAACATGAAAGATCTGTTTCCGAACGACAGTTAATCATATAATTTGCTTCAATAAATATCTGTATTTTGTTTTGTATATAAGGTTTAATACAATTTCATTTTTAGTTTGCAAAAGAGGGTTTTATGGTCAACAATGTGGAAAAACCTGTGGGACATGTAAAAAAGGGACATATTGCAATAATATAACCGGTATTTGTCCCGATGGTTGTGAAATCTATTCGACCGGAGAGAAATGTGACGGTATTCATTAATTATTTAAAGTAATGACAGTCTTTATAAACAAACAGACTTCCAAATGCTTTTGAATTAACACTCAGCTCAAGCCATTTGTTCAGAGATAACGTATACTCAATACATAATATAACACAACAAACAAATCTACCCATTCGTCTAGAACAACATAATAAAATCTTGTTATAGTTTGAACTGTACGATAGAATAAAACTATATTAAAACTTACAATATCGTGCCGGCTTGTTGTTGTTTAAATTGTACATTGCACAGAATATACAGGTCACTGATGGAGAAGCATTTGTCTACGAAAGCCCAGAAGGCTCACTCGAGATTCAAGTTACGAAATACGAGATTCAAAATTTGAGATTCGAAATTCGAGTTTCGAAGTTCAAGATCCAAACTAACCAATCAAAAGCGGGTTCAACTTTTGATTACTTCCCTTTGTAACGTTTTTACTATCACGGAATCGTTGAATATCTTTATAACAAATGGATCATTTGCTAAAATGATAATACAAGAAAATTTTTTTTATGTATTAAAACTAAATAAAAATAAAATTTGGATTACATTTTGAAAAATACATATATAATCTTATTTTTCTAATTTAACAAAATAGTAAATACATATAGTAGAATATTATATGGTCTTATCATTGACTTGCTGTATAAGTAGGTCAACTAATTTTATTTCATCAGATCATTGCTGATGGATTGATTGACTTTCAGTATTTCAGTATTCAGCAGTATTTCAGACATATTTCGGCGGACATTGCTGATGGAGAATGTTGCATTTAATTATAATTAGACATGAAATTTTATGAATCGTATCTTCACTGCACAATAATTAAAGGGTATATATTTCATTACATTTATAAAGGGTTATTTTTTGTAGTGAGACTTTTTTTTATCATATACGACGTCGTCTTTCAAGTTTCAACCCTTTCACTGTGTTGGGAAAAATGGGCAGGCGGGGAGGGTAGGCGTTGTGTTATTGCTTTATAAAACATTTAGACACTTGCCACGTATTCGTAACTTTATTTATATGTCATCAATCTCACAAACAAAGAAGACGATACAAAAAAATATGTATTCCTGATATATGCATTCTATTTATATTTAAGAAGCTATAATATAAATTGAAGTATATCTTGCTGATCAAAAATCCAGTGATTATTTAAATTTCGTTCTTATATAAATAACACTCTTCTTGCATTGTAATTTTATAAAATGACTCATTTGTTAATTATATATTAAACGATTTCTTGATAGTAAAATCATAATAAAGGGGAGTAATCAAATCTTGAACCCGCTTCTGATTGGTTAACCTGGATCTTGAATCTCGAAATTCGAATTTCGACTCTCGTATTTCGAACCTTTAATCTCGACTGAGCCTTTTGGGAGCTTTTGATTGGTTAATCTGGATCTTGAATCTCGAAACTTGAATTTCGAATCTCGAATTTCGAATCTCGTATTTCGAACCTTGAATCTCAAATGAGCCTTCTGGGCTTTCGTATTTGTCGAACACATTTCGTAAAACTTGCCAAGTTTATTTCATTGAGAAGCAGATCAAGTAATATTTCCAGGACAAAAATTGGATGGCGGATTATATGTATTTTTAAACTAAAATTAGAATTTTAACATCGTTACTGACAACTGAGTGTGCTTTTGCACTACTACAATAATATGTGACCTCAATATTGCAAAAATAAATGCTCAAGGACAGATGATACAAACAAATTTTATCTTTGGAGGAGACTTGATATCATGTCACAAGTTTAGAAATGTGGATAATTCTTAGAATTTTTTCTCCTAAGAACTGGAAAATGAAAACTAAATGTATAGTTCATTACCATATTATTTATTTTCATATATAAGTCAGTAGAAAAATGAATCATGATTCCGATTTAAATGAATTTTTACTGCCAAAGGATATGACGTCCAAATATCTAAATTTCCATTGTGAATATTTTATTCCCTTACTTATTAGTCTGCAAAGATGGGTTTTACGGTAAAAGCTGTGCGATACCCTGTGGAAAATGTAAAACGGGAACATACTGTGACAACATAACTGGAATTTGTAACGACAGTTGTCAAGAGAATTGGGCTGGAGAAAAATGTGATGGTATGAATCAATTTTTGAAAAGATTTATGAGTTCAGAAATTAAATACTTTTCAATAAGTTAAGGAAAATTATCTTATCATCCTAAATATTTTGAAAATTATTTTTTTAAAGTATGCAAAGAAGGGTTCTACGGTCGAGACTGTTCAACAAGGTGTGGACATTGTAAAACAGGAACATACTGTAACAACATTACTGGAACTTGCCAAAATGGGTGTCAAGACCATTGGGCTCCAGAGAAATGTGACGGTATTAATGAATTCTAGGAAAGATTGTCAGTTAACAATATTTAGTGATAATTTACTTACAGATAATTATAAGTAATTATAAAGTAAGTATAAAATACGTTACAATAGAACATTTACATCAAAAAATATATGGAAACAACAATGTAATTTGCATTTCCTTTTACAGTTTGCAGTGGTGGCTTTTATGGTATAGATTGTAGACAGAAGTGTGGGCACTGTAAAATCGAAACGTATTGTGACAATATTAATGGGATCTGTACAGATAGATGTCAAGATCATTGGGCTGGAAGCAAATGTGATGGTAATTTTTTTATTTCCGTTGTAAGAATGTAGTAATTACCCAGCATCATGGATTTCTTCTCTGAGCTGCACTTCCATTGCTCACACTTCTTACAGATGTCATCAGCAATCAAACTCCGGGGGTTCTGATTCAGACAGGGAGACCTAACGGATCACCGATGACCATAAAAATAGGAGGCGGAGCTTAACTCATGTCATTTTGCCGGGAAATCTTTCTGAATCAGAACTCAATACCTTTTTCTTAATTAAAATCATTGAAATACAGAAAAAAACCTCCCATTTTTGTGAATATGCATAGGGAATGTGTTTAAGTGACAGGTATCCAAAGCCGGATCTCGAAGGTACAATATATCTAAAGCTTTGGCAAATTTTGTTGTATAATGGGTTTTTGCCCTCTACTGTAAAGTAAGATCAGACAGTTGGTGGTATTATTTCAAAGGATTCAGCTCCCTTATTTATTGACCAATTCTTCTGAAAATTGGCTAGATTGTTCCTCAAATATGTGTTCACAAAACCGTATCTCAGATTTTTGATATTGTGCTTAGTTTTGGAATTATTGAGGGACGTGTTAAATTAGGCTACTAAATTGGTGACTTTGAAGTGCAATTGGGTGTAACTTTTGAATGAGAAGATTTATCAAAAATCTAAGATATGGTTTTCAAGCTAAGTTCAATCTTTAATCTACCATGAGGCAAAATAACCACTTCCAGGAATGAAATTCAAAAAAGTTGATTTATGAAATATTAATGCACTAAAATTTACATAAAAATTTCAATAATTTTTTAATACGTTAACCAATAAAGTTAAAGTTGTTATAAGAAGAAAGTATATTTAACAAGCTTTCAAATGATATATACTTTTGTTATGTTATCATTTACAATAAAAGAATTACAGGCAACTGAAATTTTGACATTTGGAAACCTTTGGTGTATCCTTAAATTCAAAAAATGCAACTATTTTGAAACCGAGAGAATTGCTTCAAAAATACATTAAAAACTTGGAGAAGATTAAACATATTTCAGTCTCAGCCACATTTGTTAAACTTTAGACCAGTTGAAAAACCGACATTTATTTCCGTTGCAATCTCAAAATATGTGTATAGCCTCTATGCAGGATACCTGAAAGGAAAAAAAATATTGAGAACCTACATGTAAACGAGATTCAAATCCGGTCCCCTGAATCTACGGTCTAGAGCTTTACAAACGGAGATTTCTGACCACTGGTAATCGAATCCGCCTGACCACCAAACATTGTGTGCATTTATCACCTGATTGTCAAATCAGATGACCAAATCAAATTCAATGGAGTGTGCAAAATAAAATGTAAATTCAATAAATATAAAATCGATAGTATAACATAATTGACTTTCAAAGAAAACTGCTATCTCTTCATTCCATTATTTAAGAAATAAACAACGTTATTCAGTGAACATGGCGTTATGAATAGCAATTGCTCTGCTGGCATATTCCATGATGCGCGTTAGCGCATCATGGAAAATATGCCAGCAGAGCTATTGCTATTCATAATGCCATGTTCACTGAATAATCGTTGTTTATTACTTATATTTGCATTCTTTGATTTATTCAAGAATATCAGAGGAAATCCTGACTTACATAAGGACGCGGCTCCTTGTCTTCAGTAATGAAAAACATACGGCTCTAAAATCAGTACACCTGATCAATAATCCTTTTATCTAATAAATCACAAACAATTATAAAGTATTTCCCTCTCAAACACAATTATCTGGATACAAGCAGCGCCGTCAACACATTATCTTAATTTTTGTTTTGATGCAGTTGTGACGTCATCGATCAACGTTATTGAAACCCTCTGACAAAAATCAATGATTTAAAACTATGATGAAAAATGATAATGCTTTTATAATGATTATTACTCCAAAACGCTTTTCTATGATTTTTTAAAAAAGTTTTCCTATTTATTTTTAATAGCTGAAATTATTCTTGAATATAGATACAAGTTATACTAGTTTTCTGAATGTTATTACCCAAGTGTGAAGAGTTATCCTTCTTTGTACAAATAAACATGATACAAAAAAATTAAAATATGGCAGTTTTATAAAATTTTAAAAAATTTTATCATACAATTAAAAACATTGACCAAAACTAAATTTTTAAAGATATAAATCAGCAATTTTAATTTTTTTGAATTTCTTTGTTTTCCAAAGAATATTATTAAAAACTTATTTTTATTCCTTTTACGAAAAGTTTCATATATATACTTCTCGAAACGTAATACGACTGTAGTGGAGTTTGTTCTACACGAATGAGATAGAGCATTTGCAGTCATAGCAGAAGCAATTGCGTCTATAGTGCTATGAACGCAGTTGATGACCACATGTTCATAGTGGGAGAGAGCAGTGGATATGCAAATATTTCATTTTACTCTCTTACAGTGATGCAAGTACAGTCCATAAATAAAGAGTTGTCACTGTAAGAAAGGGAGACCGGTCTTTCGGATGATACCGTATTAACCTTGGTCCCGTGTGTCAGTAGGTGCTGGCACGAAAAAAAATCCCTCCCTGCTCAATGTTTCTGAGTGTCGAGTACAAGACAGAATTTGTAGATCTCCACAAGCAAGTGGTGGTGTATGACTGATCAATTAGCCTTTGTGCATGTATAGGACAAAATTTTCAGCTCTCCACTGGCCAGTGATGGCTTCTCTATATGAGTAAAAACTTCTCAAGAAGGACAATAAACAACATGCAATCAATCCTTAAATTATATAAGATATTATTTCTTTAATACTTAAATTATGTCAAAATTCTAAAACAAAGTCCATAGTAGAGGTGTCTGAGAGAGGAACAATCTGCAAAGGAGATCAATAAATTGTAAATATTATTAAGGAGGGCCGAGATGTAGTACGAGGGTCATTCAAAAAGTTTGTAGACTTTTTAAAAAAAAACTTTTTTAATTAACGTCATATGACATCCACACTTGGTACGCATATTTTAAAAACACTTAAAATAGTTTGAGTAAAAAAATCCTAGAATATTTTGATATTTATCACAGTTATTGAAGATTTAACACAGCAAAAATGGGGTCATGGACAGGGTCAAATTGAGCTATTTACTTTAAATGTTTATAGCCATTTATCTTATAGATGGCACTTTAAAGAAATAAAATTTAAATACTTTAACTAAGTTTTGTTTTTATTACATAAGCTAAAAGGTAATGAAATACCTTGCTTAGTTTAAAAGACATCAATTTCTAAAAACAGATAGTCTTGATTAAAAACAGCAAGAAACCATGACGTCAAAGGATGTCATGGAGCAACGAGAAGCATAAAAATGAGTTTTGCGTTCGGGAAACCTTTAAAACAAACTCTGAAAATGCGTAAGGAACCATGCAATATATATAATATGAGCCCTGCATTTGTTTTAATGAAAAATACTGAGAATAAATGAGTAATGGAGACTTTGATTCGGGCGATGGACAGTCTGCATAGAAACAATTTATAGTTCAAATTTTTGTTAAAAACGTTAGTAACGTCATGAAACGTTATGTGTGCTTTACTGTTGCGCGCGGGAATTTTAAAAGCAGAGTAACACTGGTAAAGAATTTGAAAACAATGACAATATAACTAAAAGTAGTCAAATAATTGACAGCAAATTACGTGTCAATTGTTATGGATACGTTTTAATTAATGGGGAAGACGCTTCAAGCCGTATATAAATGGAACAGCGTAAGTTTGAAAGGTTTATACCCCAAATTGCTACTCGAAGAAAAACAACAAGTAATTATCACACTCAATTAAGGGGCCCTCTAAGGGGTACAGGTAGACTTACCTGTATGAATAATCCACCAGAATTGAAACAAAAGAAAATGGATTTTTATTTCATTTTTTTTTATTTGAGCACAATTATGTTATTATATTATTTGTAGTTCTTCTCTAAATTGTATTATTTTTGTACTTTGCATAAGGATTTAATACAGAAAAAATACAAGAGTACAGAGAAAATACATCATATGTATTTTTTTTGTATTTTTACTGAGAAATAAATTATATTATTAATAATTATATTTTTTTTTGTGTTTCATTTCTAAGAAAGTGTATTATTTTTTACATAATTTGGAACCAAGATAAAAAGGGTTCCAAATTTGGTCCTTAAAAATATACTTTTTTGTATCATTTTTGTATTTTTTCAATCTATTATTTTTATATTCAATTTCGATATGGGAAATAAAATAAACAAAACTGTATGTAGACACTTTATTTATCATGCATAATATATATTATTTTAAGAAAAAAAAACATTTATGTTAATTTATATAAAAGAGTTTGAAAATGTAGCACAAAAGGAGGATAATAATTTGTGTTTTCAATCAATACTTTTAATAGTTTGAAAAAAAAAAATAAAATATTGAGGTACAATTAAAATTTATTTTTCTTAAATCTTACTTTATCTAATTTTATCTACTTATATTTGTTTATTTTTTTATTCAGTATATTAATCAAGAATTAAAATAGAATTGAATGAATATATCTGATTTATAAAATATTGCTTATCCAGGTAAACACAGGTAAGTCTACCCATACCCCTTAGAGGGCCCCTTAATTGAGTGTGATAATTACTTGTTTTTTCAGAGTAGCCATTCGGGGAACACACCGTTTGAAAAACTTTCTCGATGTTGTTTTTGTTATCAACCGTGCTCCGTGGCAATAAAACATGTTTGCTTTTAAAAATTGGCTGACATGAATTTCATTTAATGAAATGGAATGAAACTTTACACATCGATTAAATATATGTTTTTACATATAAAAATGTTTTGATCTTAAATTTTGTAAAAATTATTTAATAATGAGAAACATTGTCTACGTATTTTTTGAATGACATCGTATTTAGAATAACTTAAAAAATTTTAATTTTTTTTTTCATTTTTTTCTTAAATATCTAATAAAAAAATATTTGAATCATTTACGACCAAAAATAGATCCAAAAATTTATGGCAATTTAGGTATCTTTTTTTTTCTTTCCATAGGCGGTTGATCTCTTTATCTGGGTGAAGATATCAAAAATTACGAAAACAACATTTGATAATTATTGGAACCCAACCACCCTGTTGGTACTTTATTCAAAAAAGATATAAAAATTGGTCCCGTACCTAGAACATTGTAATTTTACCAGTGTTCCATGTTGCATCCCGATATCCTAAAAGATTGAATCTTCTTAACTCCTACTATCAATGGCCAGATAAACCGGTATACATGTATAAACTTCCTTCTCAATAGTCTAGACAAATCTTCCTATTATGAAACTTTGTTTCATATGTCAGTAATTCCCTCACTATCAGAGTAATATGACCGTTTATCAATCAAACAATAAGTAACATAAATATCACTCATGTATTGCATCACTAGAAAGATGGATAGCTTTTAAAATTTAGAGTACTTATTTATCCCACATATACCCCTTTATCCCATGAATATGACTCTATTTATATTTGTCCGTATCCCACATTTGTGACATCATAATTGGTTTTTCATTAGTTGAAGATGTTGAATAAAGTTGAGTCCTATATAAAAACAGCAAAAATGTCTGTGAAGTATCAAACATAGAATAATATAAAAGGATTATCCCATTATTCGTGATTTAATATAAATTTTTCTATCGTTAAGTGGTATTAACCGATTGTCATGGGTTATGGAGAAAAAAAAAAAAAAAACTGTTTGGATAAAAAGCATATCCAACCACAAGTCAAGGGATATCATCTATTCATTGTGTTTCACGTATTTTAGAGTGTCAGAGATATAAATATGGACCTAATTGTGCATTTGACTGTGGACACTGTAAAAACGGACAGCCTTGTTCGAAACAGAATGGAACTTGTCTCAACGGTTGTGAGGCCGGATGGAGTGGATTGTTTTGTTTAAAGGGTCTTTTCTCTTAATATCCTTCATTACCTTCATGTTTATATCGTAGAGTTTAGAATATATTGGGTTAAGTGAAGATGTTAAATTTTATATATTTTAATATAAGATCTGAAATGGAATCATTACGAAATTGTGAAAGTATATAAATCGAGATAAGAAACTTAACTAGGAAAGCTGAAACAATGAATAAATTTTTATAAATCATTCGATTTTTTTTCTCAGTTTCATCCTCTGCTGAAAATTTAAACACAGGTAAGATTTTTTTTTTCATTTATATGTACCCTGTTAAAAAAATAATAAATTTCAGCTATAAAATGAAATGCATTAATGAATTAGTGAAATGTTTCAATATTTTATGCTTTGAAGCACACGTACGCATTTCATGTATAGTTTTGGTCCCCTGCTGAAAGTGGGGAATATGATATTCGGTCTGTCTGTTCCTCTGTAGCTCTGCCTGTAATCCTTTTGTTTCCATAAAATATCTCTAAAAAAACCTATGAACTTTCGTAGGGACGTATTACACAATAATTATTTATGACCGAAATAAATTTATATCGATAATTAGGTCAAAAGTATAAAGGTCAAGGTCGTTAATTTAATAATTCTCTCTGTTTTAAAGCTATTATTTCTGCGCGATATCTTAAGAGGTTTTCTTTGCACTTTTGCAATGATTTTTTTTAGCACAAATCAAGATGGCCTACAGAAAAACACTATTATTTTTCAGTTTAGGGTCAAGGTTGCAAAATCAAATGTTGTGTGCGCATTTGTGTAAACATTCAATTTCCAGTCGGTATCTCAAAAAGCTTTTGAATTTTATGAAAATAAATTTTTACCTTAACTCCCAATACCCCTCTCCGTTCTTAAGGTGCTCATCCGCTCGAGCCCCACCCGTCTCCCGGGTCAGCAATTCCCTCCTTATTTCCTAAGTAGAAGACACAGCTTCTCTCAATTAGCTCATTCTGTTGATTATATCATACTGAATGAATTTTACACTATCTTTATTTCATTTCACATTTATAAAGCGATGTCATTAAGAAATCAATAATGAAAATATAAATTAATTTTAAAAAAATTACATAGCCCTATGATGTGCGAATTCATTAATTCTAAAATATTAGGGTAAAATCAAAACCAAAGCCCACATGAGCATATTGCCCAATACTATTCACCTTAAAGGTACTTGGACATAGATTTGAAGTTAATTCTTTCTGTATAATATCACGAGTTATATATTTCAATTGCATTTCACACAAAAATTAATGAAAAAACTTTTTCATTTAGAAGTTATTAAAACTTTAAATTTTTGGCGGTTTTGATTATTCTTGCACTTTCACAAATTTAATTTTATTCTTAATCATAAGGAAAAGTGGCAATATTGTTGTGTATTAATAAGAAATGTCAAAACTTTAATCCAGAAAACTAATATCATTCAGAGTAGAAATGTTAGAAAGCAAAACTCCTTCACAAGTATCGTCACTCGGCTAAGTGTTGTGTACAGAGTTTAGCAAATCGATCACACTCGTGTTATGTACACAGTTTTTGTAAACAAGACACGAGCTCTGTTATTATTGATGTTTATGATTCACTGGATGCGTTTAATCGTCAAAGCCTGCTCACCACAACTGCACGGACTGACAATATATTGTGTGTTTGATTTGCTTTCGAACATGTCTACTCTGAATTTTCTGGATTATAGTATTAATGTAGTATAATGACAATGTTTGTGACAATGACATTGTTTGTGATATCAATACTTGTAGATGAAGGGATTTCAAAAACCTCATCCATAATTATTGCCATTGTTTCTACTCTGCTCGTCATTGTACTTATATGCCTTGGGATTAAAATTGTGAAGAAAAGAAGAACAAAAGAAAAAGCAAAAGCTGTAACAGAAACTGTGACATCAACGACAGTGGAGAACCCACAGTTTTATGATCAAATATCTGGTACTGAGATGGACCATGTTTATCAGGAAATCAGTCCTACATTTAAAAAAGATGATTATCAAGACAGCCATAGATATCTAAACACAGAAATAGTTAATGAAAGCAAATATTAGTTTATTATTTATTCATTGGTGTAAATCATTTGTGGATACCTAAAAATTCTAAAGAACATTTGGACAATTTGAAATCACAAGACTTTACAAAAATCAACAGCTTAAAAACTTACGACTTTTCAACTTTATACACAACAATTCCCCATGACAAATTAAAACCCAGGCTTTTTGATATCATTGACAGCTGCTTCTTCAACAAAATTGGAACTCATATATTTACTTACCTTGTCATCGGTCATTTGAAAAATTATTTTTTTAAACAGATTCTGATTGCACACATTTGTACTCTGAAGTTGACATTAAGAAGATGCTTGAGTTTCTGATTGACAATATCTATGTGGTTTTTGGAGACCAGGTATTCCAACAATCTATTGGAATTCCCTTGGGTACAAAATGCGCGCCGTTATAAGCAGACTTATTTCTATATTCATATGAAGCAGAATTTATGCAAAATCTTCTGCGTGAAAAGATGAAAAGACTTACCGTGGCCTTCAACTCGACATTTAGATATATTGACGACGTATTGTCAATTAATAATGGTAATTTCCATTCCTACGTCGACACGATATATCCTTGTGAACTTGAGATAAAAGATACCACAGAGTCCGACACTTCTGATTCATACTTGCCAATGGATATTTTACTTGAAAAAGACACTAATAAAATTGCTGCACAAATCCTATGCACTTTCTCAATTGATAAAAATTTTAGGAAACTTACCCTGGACAGTGAATTTTTATGGAATTTAATTAGATATTTTGTATAGAAATTTCCATATGTAACCTTAACTCATATGCGGTCACTGATCAAGTGAAGGTAGAATATCTTATATGCTTCCTTATTACCCCTTTGCGAAACGAAAACAGCTCACCGTACACCTAAGATTCAGGTGTTCGGTTTCAATTTAAAAGAACTGGGTTGATAACGTACTTTTAATACTAGTGGTCCTTAAGTAATTCTCGGAAAATATATATTTTTTTCTTTTCCCCCAAAATATTACAAGCTAAGGAAAACCCTTTAAACAATGAACTAGAATTAAGAAGGCAAAATATATTTTAAAGAAATATTTGGTCATGAAGCAGTCATTTCTTTTATATACTGCGATAAATATTTTGTCTTAAGTTTTACCTATATCATGTATTGCAGCAATGCAATCATCAATCAACAGTCAACTCTATCAAGGATTATTGAAAACTGGAAGTATGCCCTGGATAAAAAAAATAGTGCACTGTTGTTATTTTAATTCATCTACCAAATGCCTTTGATTGCTTTCCACAGAAAAAAGAAATTCTAAATAGAAACCTTTCACACCGAAAACAACGTGTTCCATTACAGCATCTGTTGAGTGATGTCTTAAACACTATTAAGAGTATGACTTATTCTTCTTTGAAGATAAAAGTAATCTTTATAAATATGCAAACAAAACACCTTATTAAAGGCTGATAAATCTTAGAACAGGTTGTAGCAGCTTAAGAACATACTAGTAGATGTCTTTCTAGAATATGTTCTTGAAATAAAATGCAGGTCAACAAAATTTCAGACAATTTCTACTTTGGAAACAAAACACAAAGTCAAACCAGAATTCCTGATTTAGATTTAATCAAAAATCTTTAATTAAGATGATGATGTAAAAGCTCTATGTATCACTGTAGACTTCATGTTTCTTTTAAAACACATATAACAAATATATGTAAAAAGGAAGAAAGACCATTAAGAGTCAAAATCAACAATCATCGAGCATTGAATGGAAAGTTAAAATTTTATTTTTTCAAAAGCTTTTGTTATATAAAAGATTTTGTCCTACCTAATGCTAAAACACAATTAATTTTTTTGAACGTATGAAGGGACTGGTATCGAAGGAAATTCATTTCCTTAGCAACAGGCTCATAAATCCTTATAAAATCAATGTTTTTTAGACATTTTCCTATAAATATGTTTTCTGAACGTGATAAGATAAGGTATTTTGGTTACTTTATTTGTTGAAAGATGGAACTACTTTATTCTTAAAAAGTAGGAAAAACAAAATTTTTGTAGTGAAAATTTACAGATTTAATTCAAAATTTGCAGGCAACTTTAGTTCGGGTAAAAGGGGTGGGGGTAAATTGAATACATGTACAGTGCCCATTATGTTGGTCATATTGGTCTGATCAAAGCATGCTCAAAATTTTACTATTGTTGATAAATAAATGCACAATAAATTTCAAAAGGAATTTATGTTCCTCACAAACGAAACTTTGAAATAAAAGAGGGGGATTATAGGAATCACCTTGTCACATATCCATATGTATGTAAAATTTTGACTTGTCCATAACATTTCAATGAAGCGCCGCTGAAAGTTCATACTTGATATTAAGATTGCTTATGGTCTGGAGATGTGTCCAAGTTCAAGGTCATTGGTAGAAGAATAGTGCAATCTTTGCCCATTCTGTAATATTCTAATGAAAAGTCTTGAAGTTTCATCTCGGGGATTATTATTTGAGCTGTGGGTTTGTCATGACCTTGACCAACAATTCATTTTGACACGTTTGACCTTGACTCAATAAAATAGCTTTTTCAAGGTCACTGCAGTAAAAGTGTTCTATATGAGTTTGGTATGATTACATATTTAACTTCGAATGAAGAGAAATTAGAAGTTTGTGTTCTACACAAAGGTTTTACTACCTATACCCTTGAGTTTGGAGAATTTACCCACTTTTTTTTCTTGCAGTTTATTTATGCCTACCCCACACCATGCACTTTCAAAAAATATAACATGTCTGTCAGAACAAATGACTGCAACCTTTGGTATTGAATCTACGATATATTCTCCTGTTGTCCTAATTCTTCTTGAAAAATAATTATCCATAACTTTTGTCGAATTATATCCCCAAAGACTTTTTCTTTTTAAAGATATCAAAATTCAAAAGTTAAAAAAATAATTTTTGTTAGGTCGCACAAAAAAATAATCCTTTACGTGAAATCACCTTCGAAAAATTAAATTAATCGCTTACATGTATAACCCATGAAGAACAAACCCGAGCATTTTTTCCACAACAAAGTGTACACTGGCAATATTCTAGCCCTCGTTACTTAACTTCTTTTTTAAAAAATCTTTAAAAATATCTGATTTTTCAATTATTCTGTGAATATGCATATTAATATAAAAATTACAATGGAATTTATTCAATTAATTTTAGAATTTTTAATTTTTTTAAAATATATATCATGACTTAGGATTGTACTAATGGAAAACAAAAACTCGGGTTTGAATTCTCTTCATAATAAGATATAACCGATAAAAGTATTTTTTCCAAAGGTGACTTCAAAACAGACCTTAACTTCCTATCAGGAACTGCTGTTTGTCAACAAGGTTTTTGGTCTATGTGTTCCATGTAAGGATTGTTGCAAAAAAACTAATAATTAATCTTATTATTAATGTTATATTGCAAGACAGCTAAGACCTCAAAAGCTACTGATACCTAAAATAGAAATCTGGAAGGGATATATATATATATATATATATATATATATATATATATATATATATATATATATGGAATTCTCGCGGCGCTGCCCTACACTACACGGTCATTGAGAATAGAAGTGAGATACAGCTATTTTGACATTAGTTTTAACAGAGGATTGTTACCAATACATGTTGTAATGAAATTAATTGTTATTTATAAAGCACATTTTACAACAACTCTTAAACTAACATAACTGCCCTAATATATATATATATATATATATATATATATATATATATATATATATATATATATATATATATAAAGCACTGAAAATGACCAACGACACGCACAATAAAAATTGTCAAATTTTCGGGACGCCCTGTCCCTTCCTCAGGACAAAGAAAAAAGTTAAAAAGTCATAAGAACAAAGGAAAAAGAGAAACAAAAACAACTAGCACTACTACTAAACTACTAAACACTAGATATTTGCATACTTAATAACATGTTGAATAGGAAATTATTAAGAACACTAATAAAGAAAGAAATCCGAACCGCTATGAAATTCGTCCGGTCTATCGGGTATACTCGGGTGAAGTGCGATTTACATAATTGAACGAATTAATTATGCTAATTAATTACGACAATCAGTAAATCGTACATTGTTTCATTCTCTCAAAATGGCGTAACTTTACTTAATAAAGAAAAATAATATAGCAGGGATATTTAAACATATGAATTATGATCAATTATAAATTTTGAAATATTTAAGGACTTATTACCGGGAAAAAAATAATTAACAAAGGCGTAAGCAATACATAGTTATGTGGGTTGTTCGAGAGTTGGTGACGCAAATTAACTGTAGAGTTTACACTAAATTGAGAGAATAATCTTGTTTAGTAGTATCAGGAATTGAGTCTAGTTTACGTTCATTCTGGTGAAGTCATTCAGTTTGTTAATACCATTAGGGAGGAATGACTTCATTAAAAAATCGGGATGACATTGTAATCAAGAAAGCAGACAAAGGCTCTACAGTTGTAGTAATGGATAAAGAGACTTACATGGCGGAGGCCCAACGACAACTCTCAGACGAACGTTTCTATAAGAAACTGGATTCTGACCCTACTAAAGAATTCTCCACCGCCATTACCAAAACTCTTGACGATATGTTTGAGAAAAATGAGATTGGTATAAACGTCTATGAGACCTTAAATCCTATTGACTGTAGACCAGGACAATTCTATCTGCTTCCTAAAATACACAAAAAAGGCATGCCAGGTCGCCCCATAGTCAGCGCAATTGGACACCCCACGGAGAAAATTTCTGAATTCATTGATTTACATCTCCGTCCACACGTAGAGAATTTGCCATCCTATCTCAAGGACACCACGGACTACATTAACAAGACGCCCTCTACTGGCCTCCCAGATCATACCCTCCTCCTGACTATGGACGTCACATCTTTGTACACCAATATTCCGCACGATGAGGGTATCGAAGCCTGTAGAGAAGTCTGGGATAGTAGATCCATACAAATTCCTTCTACAGAGTCCCTTGCTAAGCTCCTTGAACATGTTCTCAAGTTCAACAACTTCATGTTTAATGGAGAACATTACCTGCAGGTTAATGGCACTGCTATGGGTACGAAAATGGCACCGTCTTATGCCAATGTCTTCATGGGCAGACTGGAACGCAACTTGTTACTTC